ATTTACATTGTTTTTTTCTTTATTGCTTCTATTATTCTTTCGTTTGAAAATTCTGCTGCTTTGCGCGTTTCTTTCAAAGAAAGTTCTGTTATTATGGAATTAAATATTTTGTATTCTTTTACTTCTGTTATTTAAAAGTTAGATTATTTTAGCCCTGCAAAAAGGAAACAAAAAGATCCTTTGAAAATTATTTAGAAAAATATTTATAATTCTGTAATCAAATCTTACTCGAATGACCCTTACAATCTTACTCGAATGACCCTTACAATTTTTAAAATTATATTTAATCACAATCTTAATTAATCACACTCACTTAGAATCTATGTTGAAACAAAATATTGAAAAAGAACACAGCATTAAAACTATTGAAATATCGAGATTAATAGATGATTTATAAAGAAGTTTTCTTTTAATTTATGAATTCCAAAATCAAATTTGTTTAGCAAAGCTAGTAAGTTACTAAAAAAATATGCAAATAAATTTAATGTATCATTTTTAATAGTATCTAAGCTTATATCTACGATTCAGTAAACAAGTTGTGTCATAAGACGTTCATATATGTGACAGTGTGGGTATGGAATATTGATATTTAATTCTTTTCTTATAATGATTTTGTACATTATCAATGCCTCTTATTTTAACCGCACATAAAAAGTAAGAAAAAAGAAATATACACGAAGAAAAAAGGTATTGTGAAAACTACCCTCATATGGTAACATTTTACAGTTTTCTGATTCTATGATAACACTAAAAAAACCCATAATTTTTGTCGAAGCTCTTAGGTAATGATTTTGGCAAAATTAACAATAAAATATGGTGTTATAATATGAGATAAAATTTGGTAAATGTAAAATTTGGGAATTTTACCTCGGTCCCTTAGAGTAGCATAAAAACAATTTTTTCGGTTAAGTTTACTTTTCATTACAGTAGTTCATTACTTAGAGTAGCATTTCACACTAAATGTGGGATAATAAGAGCTATCATCTTGAAAACCAGAATTTTCGGTAAACCGTTAACATATGAATGGAAAAATTATTAAATACCGAATATACATACATATTTTTTTTTTTAACAAAAATTATGTTTTTTTCTTTAGGATCCATTCAATACGGTAATTTTGATTATAATATTAATACTTTTCTGGGATTCGGTAAGAATTTTAATTAGTTATGAGACGGAATCGGAGATAAGCTCTCAGAAAAGTCTAGAGTTAAGAGTCCAGTTTGAACATTTAGACTACCGACTACACAGCTCTGATTTACATGATAATATGTAAAATCGTTAATCGTAGAGAAATCTGTAACATATTAAGAACTTGTTGAATATATTTTTTTTCATTGTTCTTCATATATGTTAAACGCATGAAAGTTTTTCTTGTAAAAAACGGAAAATAAGGAATAAAAAAGTAAGAACTTTTCGGAAGATATTTAGTAGCTGGCTATTTACGAATGGATTTAAAACTTAATAGAAAACATATTTATATAAACATATAGGTACCTCGACAGATTTAGTTTTTATAGAAAGATTGATAATTAAAAGTGCAAAAAGAAGTTAAAATATTTAAAATTTTTGAGAACTAGAAACAGAATCTTAAAAATTTTTCGCTCAGAAAGATAAAAAAAAAACCACTTATAATATTTATGAAATTAAGCTCGTTATCTTTTTCATTAAATTCATTACTTTCTTAAAAACGAAAATTCCTTTCCATTCAGTTCTGAAAAATCTAATCATAAATTGGTGAGCGAGACTTCTGAAAAAGGATAACAACTTTCTTATTAAGTTTCGGCATGAATGACTTTTTTATCTTTGCCCTTTCAGAAGAGTGATTATTATTTTTAAAAGAAAAATATTTTAAATTTGTATTGAAAATATTTTCTTAGCTTTCGCTTCGTAATTTCTCAACGAACAAGGCATTGGAATACATTTCTCAATATTTGTTTTTCTAATCTCTCAAATATCGATATTATTTTTAAAGATATTAGTGATTAAAATTTCTTAATAATTACTAGGAGTAGTAATTACAAATGAAATTCTAATCTAGTTTTGCAATGTAAAATGTTTCAAAGATCAAAAATATTCCAAAAAGAAAAATTTCATCTACATTAAAAAATGGTTTAAAATAGAACTCTCTTGTAATAACTTTCCACCCACTCTTTCAGGATTTTATCTTCTAATTTTTGAAACGTTAGAAAAATACTGCATTTATACTTTTTCATCGAAACACCTTAAAATGATCTTTAAAATTTTCTAAACTAATATTGTATTTATTTTTAAAATATCGACATCCTTTTAATTTTATTCAAAAACTGAGATTTAAAAATGTAATTTATTTTAAAATACCACTATTTAAGAAATGGCTTTCTTAAAAAGGTGTTTTCTTCTTAATAATTTAATATACTTTATTTCCGACTTATTACTTTTTAAATAAATAATAATATATGTGACATATTATGGGCAAAAAAATATGTTCTACACACTTTTAAGTTATTAAAATTTAGAAGCTAATAAATTTCGTTCACCAAATTAGAAAGATAAGGATGCAATGTCCCTTAGATACCGATTAAAAATTATTAATTGGAATTTTATTAAGTTTTATTACATTCTGAGAGTCTTATCTTCAGTGTCTCGTAATTATTTATTTTTTTCTCTAACTCTAACAAATTTCACGTTCAAGTTTAAACCCCGTAATTCACAGACATAAAGTTCACTAATCAAATTGTGATTGAGTAAAATTCTTTTTCACAGTCTAATAAAGGGGAATGAGCACTTAATAATTCAAGAAACGAAGCGTAGCCAAAAATCAATTTCAAAATAAATTGCTTAATTCAAGTGGTCAACCAGAAAGAAAAGACAAGATGGCTTTGTAAAGAAATTCTTTCAAGTGTGAATTTGTCACCCTGGCAGCTCAGTGGTTCCCAATTTGTGGTGAGGTATCTTAACTTTCTCCCTTTTCAAAGTATAAAAATAGTCTCTGGGTCAGGATAAAATGGTAGCGAAGAAGCGAAACACTTCAATAGTTTGCTAAAAACAGATGCAAAAATGTCGTCCCTTAAACCTTTTTTTCTCCCCATTCACTTTAATTTTTAGTTTCGTTTTTTCCTTGTTCTCTGTTTGTATTTACTGAATTGTCTTCTTCTTTTCCCTAAACTCTTGTCAAAAAATAGTTCTAATTATTACTTTCCTTTTAAAGTTCACACCAGACTTTAAATTTCCACAATATCTTGTCATCACAATATCTCTGTTGTTATTTACCGAACTGTCTTCTCCTTTTCTCCAAACTCTTGTTAAATTTCCACAATATCTTGTCTTCACAATATCTATGATGTTATTTACTGTACTGTCTTCTTTATTTCCCCAAACTCTTGACAAAATTCTCTCCAATTATTACTTTCCCCTTTAAAGTTTTCTTCGGACTTAAAATTTCCACAAGATCTTATTATCTCTCTTATAAATCTCGTTTAATAAAACTGTCATCTCCTTTTCCCCAAACTCTTGTCAAAATGAGTTCCAATTTTTACTTTTCCCTTTAAAGTTTACATCAGACTTTAAATTTTCACAAAAACTTTTCATGATTATTAGAGGTAAAGTGAGAGTAAGAGAGGAAAGAAATAAATAATATAAATATACCCCAAAAAAGTAATTTTATTTATATAAAAATATGTGGCTGAACTTGTTAGAGCTTAGCGTCATAATTTTAAGGTTGAACATAAGATTACGTTGACTAAAGTTCATGAATTGCGAAGTACATTAAAAATTTTCACCTAAAATTTAAATAACCACCAAAAATTCCCTCACACGTTTTCCGAAAATTTCACGCTCTACTTTTTCCGTTTTTCTGAAAAATGTAATTTTGTCTCCTTTTTAGTCTAGTTAAAGGTATCTAACTTTTTTACGAGAAATTTGTAAAAATTTTCAGAAAAATATAATTTTAAAATTATTTGAAGTTCTGCCGAATAAATATATTTTGTTAAAAACTTTTATTGAGATAAAATTGGGGGAAGGCATAGCTATAGGCATAGCTAAATGTGCGGGAGGTATAGCTATAGATATTGGATCATAGAAGAGTAAATTTATTCACCTGAAAAATAATGCATAAAACGAAGCTGTTTTTTTTTTTAAATTTATTTATACTTAAGTGGTACAAATAAACAAAACATTATTTATTTAGTTTTTTATTATATTCGTTGTTCATAGAATGCTGGGAAATAAAAGAAAACAAAAGCTGTAAAAAATGTATTCAATGTTAAATATTTTACACTTTTGTTCGATGCATCGTAAAATGAAAAAAAAAAAAGAAATTTCTTTTTTCTTTTCAAAAAATTTCTAAAAATTTAAGTTTTTAAATTTAAATTGTAAGTAAGTAAAAAGGCTTAAAACTATCATTATTATATCTTTATTAGTATTATACATTAATCATTCAATTACTTTTTCGTATATAAAAATAATTTATTAACATTTATATTTTAAATAGGTAAAAAAAATTTAAGTTATTCTTATTTTTCCTTATTATCATAAAATATTAATTAACCAGTTATTTTTTTCACATGGTAAAATATAAATATAATTCATAATTGGTTAATTTTTTTTAATTTTAAATTTAATAATTAAATTTAGTTAATTTTTATAGGTTTTAAGATTTATGCTTTAAATAATAATTTTATTGCCATTTATTTTTATTAGAATAAAATATTAAGTAAATAATTACTTGAAGTTGATAGTTTATTTTGTGAAAAAGCATAATTTTACAACAATTTGAAGAGAGAGAATGAAAAAGGGGGAAATAAAATCTCATAAAGCCATCACTAGATGGCAGTGCTATTGTTTTGACCGTGGCATTGCGGCATCAGCAGACCTATGGGATACATTAACGCTTCCGAAATTGTGTGATATTTGTTGTGATAAATTTCCAGTATTTACAGGAATCTTTTCATACGTTGTGTTAATTTTTTTTTTTAAAAAAAAAGATAAAGGTCAGTAAATTTCTTTCACTCCTTTGCGAGATGTTTGTAAGTTTTTGAACTTATTAGCGTGATGTAAGGACTCGCACATTGCCAGTTCAAATTTCGTAAATCGGTTTTCTCTTCGGGCCAATTATTTAAACAGCTTTAATCCCAGTCTTAAAAATATCGTAGGTAATAGGACAAAGGTTGTATTTTTAGTTATGATTCGCATTTTTCGTGAGTAAAAGTGTCTGCTTATACCCTTTTTGGACTGTAAAGTGTCAAATTTCAAGGTTAATAGTAATGACATCTTTTGACAATCTCTATTTATAAGCGCGGGATCTTCAAGATTCTGAATATGCTGTGATAAATTTTTACATTCATTGAATGTGCTGATTACTGTACAATATTGGGAATAAGATCAGTTTCATTTAGATTACGTTGTTTAATTATATAAAGTGCTACCCTTGTATCTGTAAACATCTTATCTCTTTTCATATTTCTTTCTATTTAATTTTGTTTGAATACGTAATCAAACATTTTTGTCATAAAAACAGATTAATTTAATTAGCAATGAAATATTTAATTCATTTGTTACCATAATGATTTAAAAATCCGGGCGTGTCATTAAGGGCGGTTTTTAATATTATAATATTACCTTTCCATTTCCAGCTTAAATAATTCATTTAAGTGTGGTTCTTCTTTACTTATAAATAGCTTATAGTTGTGAAAATTATTTTTCCAAAAGTTTAAAATTTATATAAATTTATCAGTTTGGGTTAGTTGCAGTTAGCTATTTTAAATAAAATTGCCTTTGATATTAAGCCAGGCTCTGCAATGTGCACATTATTGATATTTAGAATTATGTACTTATTTAGAGTTATTTTTTATATATATTTTTGTTACGTTTATATGAGAAACTATGTTGAATTTTTTTTTTAGTGGATTATAATCTTCATTTGATTGTATGAGTCATTAAATTGGCATAAAAATTGTTGAGTCATTTATTTTTACAATATATGTATATTATTTCAAAATTTTTCCACTAAAATTTTTACTATGCTTCCCCCTTCAAATTATCATTATTTCGTATGTCTCTTGGACAAATAAAAGATCTGATTTTAAATTGCAGTTGAAAAAGTTGTGACTTTAAAATGCTGTTGAAAAAGTTGTGATTTTGAAATACAGTTGAAAAAGTTGTATATTCAGTTTGTCCCTACAATTACTGTTACAATTGTAGTGACAAGACATAAAATATAAATTTTTAAAGTGTTATCATTGATTTGCTATTTAATTGATTGGATGTAGTGAAACATTTGATTATTTACTTTTTAATTCGTTACCAAGTATACTTTTAAAGGTATAGTGCATTTTTAAAGGTTAGGTGAAATTCAGCCACATTTCTGACTTTTAAAATTTTGAATTTATTGATGCATACATTTTAAGTATTATTGTTATTATTCATCTAAATCATTTTTGTATCTTAAAATGTTTTTTGTCAAATAACTAAAATCTTTCTTTATTTAGAGAGAACTGTGAATAGTCAACTTTTGCTGCTGTGATCTTAATTAAAAGAAACAACGATGGCTTTCGCAGGTCTCAAAAAACAAATAAATAAGGCTAACCAGGTAATATTCTCTAATAAAATATTACATTTTTAAATGGCTAAAATTAAAATGTAATGCCTTGGTTGTCAAATTAGTAGTTTTTATGCATGTAACCGCAACATCTTGAATTTAATTAGTTTTAATACTTAGTGTTATGTTTCATTGCTCTTTTTTTTTTCAGTGTGTTATATACCTATCTGTGTATTGCTTTATTATTCATGTATTGTTTAAGGTTTTTATTCCTGTGTTTCATGTTTTTTAGTGAATAGTTATGGATATTCTGTATTAGTGTTACATGCTAGTAACAAAGTGTATTTTATTTTTCCCTCAAGAAATTGAATTTTTTTGTTTTGTGCGTGACATGTATTAACAACTTTTTCCCTATCTGTCTTATTTCTTTTTGTATTTATTACATTAAATGAATAAGAATATTTTTATCCACTCTTTATAGTTTAGATAGCGTTACATGTATAACGAACAATTAATCTTATTTTATTTCTTTTAGAATTTATTACACCAAGTAATCAATACTATAAGTTATATACTGTATGACATATATTAAACTTAACAATCTAAACAACTTATGTTGCTTAAAAATTTTTATTAGTAATTTTCATCTGACATAGCATTTCCCCTGTAAATAGAACACTTGATGTTATTTTATAAAAAAGATTGTTTCTTACAGATTTCTTAAATTGAAAATATTACCAACATTGTTTTCTGTCAGTCAATTATTATGATATCATAAAAAATATCATATAATTTTTATATTTGTATTATATTGATTGTGTGAAATTGTAACTTTTAGCAAAACCTCTTAATTTTCTTTATATGCATATGTATTTATAATGCATATAAAATAAAAGTGTTTGTAAATATATATTTTTATAATTGAGTACTGATTATATGTTTATTCCTAATGCTTTAGAGTTAATACTAGTTCTTAATGCTAAAGAGTTAATGGTTATGGCTATCAAAATTAGGTTTCACTTTGAATGCTATACATTTTGCTGAATTACTACATAATTTAATCAAAAAGCAAGAAAAGTGCAGTAGTTTTTGGTTTAGTTGAAATATAAATGAGAATGTAAAATTAATATCTATAGTGGTAATTTAAAGTGTTTTTACTATTCATAGCAGTGCTTTTATAGAATTTAGTTATTTTAAGAAAATCATTTTGTTTTCCATGAGAAAACTGCCCTATGAAGGTAGAAACTTGTGTGGAAACTCATCTTTATCTTTAAATATGCTCAAGTTGTACACATTATTTTGGCAATTTTTATAATTGTATAATATGTGTGTTGTGTTATCTCCCTTATCTTTAAAAAATAAAGTTTATGGGAAATTTTGTTTTCAGCATTAAAATTACTATGTAAGGTTATAATCAAATTTGTGAATTATATATTTAGCTATTTCGTTATAAAATATAGAGCATTAAATACTTACTAAAACTAATACAGAAGTAAAAAAAATATCCCTGTCATACAACACTTGACTAAGCCTAACCATATACCCACTTTACCCCACCTCAGAAAACAATTCATATTAAATAGAATTTTGAAATTTATTCTTAAATTTCTATGTAGATCTGTTCTTTAGATGTTGCTCTAACAGTTTAAACTAAAATTTATAGTTTTTGACTGTTTTTAATGATATTAGAAGAAAGTTCATAAACAGCTTAAACTAACATACTTTATAAGTTGATCATCAACAGATAGTTTGTAATCATAAATTTTTTTTATCAGTTTGTAAAATTGAAATGCTTGCTTGGGAAATGCTATCTCAGTAAATGTCTCTAAAAATATTAAATAAATTATCTCAACTTAAAAGAAGAAAAGATGTTTTTTAACATGAACCCACTTTATGCCACGTACCCATTTTACCTCACCTTTTGAATATCCTTTTATCATAAAACTTTTTAACCTGTTGTTAATTTGAAAGAAATTTTATGGATTTAATATGTTATAACTTTTATTCATACTAAGTTTGTTAATGTACGTAAGTTTATTATTTACCTGTTAATATTTAAGTAATTGAAAATTTTAATTTCATTCCAGTACATGAGCGAAAAAATAGGAGGAGCTGAAGGAACAAAATTCACGGAAGAGTATACTGAAATGGAAAGAGTAAGTTTTGAAATTTTCTCCTCTACTCTGGTTTGAAAAATTCACTTGTTTCATTGGTTCATTGTTAAGAATTTCAAATTCCCGAAACAATTTTTTGTAATAAATATATATATTAAGATTAATTTATTTGCATATGCTGCCATTATCACAAGGTGGTTCGACTATTTGAAAACTGTGAATTCTTGGGATATACAAAATTAACTCCGGAAATACTCAGAATATTCACCATTTTATTAAGAACTAGTCTACAAATCTCTGCTAATGTGTTTAAATTAATCTTTGTATGTAAAAACTGTTTCTCTGATATAGTAATTCATTTTCTGGCATTGCTATTTTGATATATTATTCTAATTCTTTTATTTTTTTATTTCCTATTTAACGGGAAATTTTTCATTTAAATTGCATAACTTAGCTAAACAATTTATTTCTGAAAATGACACCTTTTTATCTAGAGTTTTTAATGAACTTAATAATTATTTAGAAGAAAATATAAATTTTATATATTTAGTGTAGAACAAATTTCTATGCATAGAATAAGAAAAAAATTTATTTAGTAGAGGAAATAAGTATAAATTCTTTATATATATAAATATATGTGAATATNACTAGACGTTAAGAACGTATCCAATGAGCGAGCAAAGCGAGCATTGGATTGCGAAGCAATCCGAAATGAACTGCGATAGCAGTTCCGAGGGTTGGTGAGCGCCAGCGAGCAGGGGGCGAAGCCTCCTAGTTTTTTATAAAACATTAAATTTTTATTATTATTATTATTTTTGGGGCAACTTGGACTTACTTTTCTCTTTTTACTTTTAAGAAAACAGACTTAACAGCTGAGTTAGTTGAAGACATACTAAATAAGACGAAAGAATATTTACAACCAAATCCAGGTACATTATTTTTTTGCAAATTATACATTTTTATTTTCGTGATCATCCTTCAATATTAATGTTATTGTATAAGAATTTATTTATCAATGTTAGTATGACCTAACTGTATTAGTTTAAATGAAATTCCTGAAGGGAAATAAGCTTCTTGTTTTGTAATTGTTACTGTTTTGTAGAAAAATTCCTTCAGATTTGTCAATAATTTGTCATCACAACTATTTTGAAAACTTTGTGTAAAATGTATCTCATTTTATTGGAAATTTTACCATCAAACCATCCATACTGATTCTGAAATTGATTTTGGTGCCAGTTCATCTTAAAAATGCTAATGATGAAAAGTATATAGTTAAATAAAGCTTGAAAAGCTTTTTCAAATTGCTCAAATAATCTCTTTTTATTGTAGCCAAACTTGTTTAGTAATCGAAACCTGTTTTTATGCTAACAACTAAATCGTTAGATTTATTTTCAAAGGTAATTATGCAACAATCTTTGATATAATAATGATAAAAATGTCACTCTTAAAGCTTTGTCTCCTATGTTTTCTGTTGCTGAAATTCTTAAATATGTACCCACTATTTCAACAATTGTTATTATTTTGTTAGAAATATTGGTGACAGAAAGTTACAAATCATCGATGCTTTGCCTGATATTTTTCTGTTAATGTGTTGGAAATTTTTTTAAGAGTACTATGTGCCAATATTCTAACATGTGTCAGCTAAGCAAAAAGATAGTTTGTTTATTTTGGCAGTACATCATTATTAGTCAGTGCTATAATAGTAGATAACTTATGGCGACAATGACATAATTTTGAGCTATATAGGCTATTCAAAGAAGCTGACATCGACAAATACATCAAAATAAGTCTCTTAAAGCTTACGGGCCATGTCTATCGAATGGATCCTCCTTCTTTGGCATTTATGATCTTCAATTACAAACCAATGGGAACTAGATTTAGATGTATGCCTAAGATCAGATGGCTTGACTCTGTGGAAGAGAATTTTAAAATCCTTAGAATTACTAACTGGAGAACAATTGCAGGGAAAAGAGCAGAATGGAAGAAGGCTCTAAGGAAGGCTCTGACCCACAAAGGGCTGTCATGCCAATAGAAGTTTTTTTAAATCTATTTTTCAGCTGTACAGGCAACAAATAAGTAAATAAATTATTTAACAGTAATTGATATTTTAATTGAAATAAAATTGGTGTATGATGGCAAACATTGAGAGTAGAAATAATTCATTGAACATTGAAAAAGTAATTACTTTTTTAATATTGTTTGAGTATTTATTTATTTATTTAAGTAGTTACCAATTTTCTAGATTTAGCATTACTGAACATTCATTTCCAATTTCAAAATTAAATTTAATTTAATTTTATATTTTAATTTTTTTTTTAATTTTATTTATTTATTTATTTTTTTGCATAGTTAAAATATATTTCAGAATTATTTTACGCAATCTACTATGTAACAACATTCTTTGTATCAAGTGTTATTATTTTATTTAAAATATCTACAAGGCAATCTTTTTTTTTTATATTATAGAAGTTTTAAAATTATTTTATTTGTTGTGTTATTTCATGTGCTGCTCATGCATCTATCATAGCAGGTAATTTTTTTTTAATCCAAATATGCTATGCTTTCATTTGGATATTCTTTTTTATTTATGCTATTCTTGAAATTTATAACTATATATACTTTTTATTTCTTAGATAGCTACTTAGTATAAAAAATTTGAGTAATTACATAGTACTAAGTGCATGTTTAGTCTCTTGAGGAAAGTTATTAATATGAAAATCTTAGGATGATTCAAAATAATTGCCCGATTACAAAACATTCAATTTATTTGCGCTATTTTTATACTATAATTTATTTTTGATTTAAAGTATATAAAATTGTACTTGGTAAAAAGGGTTGTTAATAAAAAAAAAATATTGCATTTATGTCCACTGTTTTAACTTATTAGAGATTTTGAACAAAATTGAAAAGAAAACATCTCTGCCAGAATAAATACTTTTTTTAAATTTTGCATTGAAGTAAAAAAAAGAATTTAATATAGGTCTTTGAAATATCCCTTAAAAAGTTGGTAGCGTATTTTCCGTGTGTGATGTTATCAGAATACCTCCCTTTCGGCCTTTGTCTAATTTTGTGAAATTAGATTTCTGATGGTTCCTTGCACCTAGCACTTTTTAACTGTAACCGTTAACCTTACTAAGATTGATTGGTGCTCATTCGATATTTGATGCTGCTTGAGATATGTGAGCAGTTTTTAAAGTTTGATTTCCTTCTCTTCATGCTTAGGAAGTAGAATTTCTTATATTTGAATTATTCTTGCTTTATTTAGTCTTGCAATTATTCGATCTAAATTATTACTTTATCTGAAATATTTAGACTATTAAAATGCAAGACTAAATAAAGTGAGAATAATTAAAATAAAAGAAGATAAAATTCTTCTTTCGAGAAGGAAAGCAAACTTTAAAAACTGCTCACATATCTTAAGCAGTATCAATCATTTAATGTGCATCAATCTGAGGTTAACGGTCACAGTTAAGAAGTGCTAGGCGCAAAGCACCATGCAAAAAGTAATTTTAGAAGGTTAGGCAAAGACAGAAAGGCTGAAAAGTGAAGTTATTTTGATAACATCGTCACACTGTGTATCATACTAAAAAGGTTAAAAATATAATGATTTTGAGTACGTAAACAAATTGAGAATTTTGATTTGTAATCAAGGCAATCCGTTTTGAATATTAGTACGTTTTCTAGCATATTTATTAGTGCATGTTTTAGATTTAAAAGTTTCATACTCTGTTTAATTAAAACCTTAATTTACTGTTAGTAGATTCAATATCATAAAATAATGATTGCTGATCAAAAAATTAAGAAACATAACAAAAATATGTTGTTTTATCCTGACATACAGTCTACTTTAATGCAGTTTAATGTTCAAAATTCAGAGTGTTATGTTATAAAGATGTTAGGTGAATTGTATGTTCAGTTTAAATTACTCAGAGGTGGTTTATAAAATCAAGTTTAGATTATCAGATTATAATTTTTTTGCTCTTTCTCTTTAACTATTCATCTTATAATAGATTGATTTATATTCTGTGGGACCATTAATTAGTTAGTAATAGAATTTTTGCCTGGTATGATATAGCTGTTTTTTGTTTTTTTAAATCAATTTCTTTTATGATTTTTCTCTTCATAAGTATTGTACTTACTTGCATATTTATTAAATTACAGACTGTAGATTATAAATCTTAGAATAGTGATGTAAAATTAGCTAATTATTCAGTTTTCTTATTGCTACTCTTATATTACTTATTTCAGCCACCAGAACAAAACTGATGGTTAGCTCTAAATTTCGTGGTACTGCCAAAGCACATGCCTACCCACAGCCTGAAGGAACTCTAGGGGAAGCAATGGTTAAGTACGGAAAGGATATGGGCGAGGAATCTGCTTTTGGTAGGTATTAATTCTTTTAATTTTCAGTGTTAAGTTTTTTTTTACTATACTTAACATGGTTGTATCTTGTATCCTGACTAATGTTAATCGATGATTTATAGGCTTGGTTTGCTGAAATATACTCTTATTTGTTCAATCTAAAATGAGCACAGTAGTGAATAAAGGAAAAAAAACAGACACATGGTTACTTAGATTGGTGTGTTAGCATTGAAATTAATGATATTAACTTAACTCTTGTTCCTTTTAAGGGTAAAATATTAATTTGTTTTGAATTTTATGCTTCAAAAGACGTTTCTTAATTTTACCTTGATTCTAATTATATGTATCTATAATAGCCTGACAAATGTTAATTTGTTGTTTATTGAGGTTAATTGGAATATGTTATTCTTATTTTGTAAGACTAAAATGATCTCCAGTAACAAATAAGAGACATTCAGGACTATTATAGTTGCTATGTCAAGCCAAAATATACGGTAAATACTTAGAATTTGTTCTATTTAATGATAAATACCTTTGTGTTTTATGTTTGCATAATTTACCAGACAAACAGAAAATTCATTTTTTAACTTTGTGTGTCTTCACATTTAGCTTAACTTGGCAGTGTGTAATAGCCTGATTGTTTATTGATAAGGTTAATTGAAATATGTCATTCTTATTTTGTAAAACTAAAATGAACTGCAGTAACAAATAAAAGATATGCATAGCTACCTTCGATTGGCCAAATTGAATGATAAATACTTAAAATTTGATCTATTTAATGATTGATATTTAAATCATTTTTATTTAAAATTACAGGTATGAGTTTAATAGAAGCTGGTGAAGCACTGAAACAGATGGCTGAAGTTAAATATGCTCTAGAAGATAATGTAAAACAAAATTTCCTCGAACCCTTGCATCATTTACAAACCAAAGATCTAAAAGATGTTTTGGTATTTTCTTTCTTTCATTTTTAAATATCTAAATGCTATTTCAGAAAAAACTGTTTTTAATTCATTATTGTTTTCTTTAAAATTTCTATTAATATTTGTTTTAAAAGTAGTTGGCATAAAAACTTTATTTTATAAATTTTAGTTACTATCTGTCTTAGTGTCTACTATTATTTGCTTTATAGTTGCTCAGTTATGACTAATGGCTAACTGCTGTTTTCAAAAGGTAGAGAGTAGAAAAACAAACTATTAGGCACGTTAAATAATTTTTTCTTTTAACGATTTAAATAGTAAACTAATTAAAATTTTGAATAAGATGTTAAGTTCATATTGAAGCAGAATAAAAATTTGTTGCCTATCATAAAATTTGCTGAAGATGGATATTAGAGATTGAGGAAATTCACATAATATTTAAGTAATCATATTTTGAATCTAAATTATTTATTACTGAAACATCAAATTTGAATATCTGTTGCATAGACAAAAATTTAAGTAGGGCAAGCTTAAGTTTTTTTTAGTTTATAGGTCCATCTTTAATTACGAAATTTTTGTAACATTTTTAATAATTAGTGGGGTTTTATAAATAGACCACAAGTATTGGGTCTTGATTGATCAAAAGTTATTTAAACAGTGGTTATTTTGGTGCTTTGTTTTAAATAAACATTGTGTAAAGTCATGCCTGGCGAGCAAGCCTCATGATACTTAATATTAATTTTGAAAAGTATGTAAATTTACTTACTGTATGTATTTACATAATGTAGAAAAAAAAATGTCTTGATGATTTTGTCCATTTATATAACAAAGATCTAAAAGATATTTTTGTGTTATTTTTTTCTTCCTTATGCTTTTTTACACTTTTTAAGTATTCAATAATGATAAACATTTTAGCTTGTTTTACTTGACACAAAGTTTTTTTTTTTAATAGTTTTGATTGGCATATATTTTTGTTATCTGTTAACAGTTTAGATAATTAATTATATATTCGTTTTTAAAAAACATGGATCTAAAATTATAGCTAAACAAAATCAAAATTATTTTCCATGTGTTTTCTTATAAAATTTACAACTCTGATCCTTTTTCAATTACTATAATCATGCTTATTTGCCTTTATGATTAATTTGGGAGGGGTGCTTACTAAACACTGATGGTTGGTTAGAAAAAAATTTTTTTTTTAAAACTTTCAATGCAATTTGAGCTCTTAAAGTTTTCGTATTTACCTTTGAGCTCAGCAAATATTCATGATGTTAATGTTTGTATAGAAATAAATCTGTTTCAATGATTACAACTTTATTAAATTGCATTCATATTTTCTGAAAATAATTATTTTTTGTTATTATCAGAAAAACTTATTTAATTTGTTAGATGAACCTAGTATTTTTTGGTATTTTTATTTATTTTTAGTAATAAATGTAAATTATTCTAAAACAAATGCTCTTGACAATGAAAATAATTATATAAATAGAATTTTTACTTGGAAACGAAACTATCTTGACAAAAATCAACATTTAAAGTAAGGATTTGGAAGATTGTTTCTTCTCTTTAAAAATAATAAAATAAAAATATTATTAAGCATAGTTATTTACATAATTGATTATTCAACAGATAATTTAACTAACTAAAATAACATAGTTATTATAATCGAAGTTGCAATTATTTGTTTATTTTTAAATTATTTTATTGGCTTTAGTGCTTAAACTTAAAATCCCTTCTGACCTTAAGAGAACTTCCTGTGATTACACATTGAGATTTATATTCACGTTATATAAATAAATAAATCAAATCTTGCATTGATATTTTTATTTAAACGTTGATAAAATTTTCAAAATGTGGATACTGTAAATAAGTGTTTCCTACATGCACTTCTTTCTTGCATAAATTTCAGGTATTTTTTCAGTTATTTAAAAAGTGTTTTTGCGCCTAACATTTTTGGATTTCTTTTTCCAGCTTTTTTTCTTTTCTTTTTTTTTATCAAACTCATCCCTGCAGTTTGAATCAATATAAAGTTCTATGAAAATAAAATGTTTTAAAAGAAGTCCTTGATTTTCAAGCAAATTTGCTGTAAGATGATTGATACGAATTCGTTGAAACTAGTTACAACTAGTGCAACACAACTAGTGCTAGTTACAACTAGTGTATTCGTTGAAACTAGTTATTTAATCGAGATTTTGTGTTTGCGGAAAGTTTTTAATTTTATCCAAGTCTGCTACTGATGTGTGTTACGCACAATCATGTGTGTGTAATATTACTGTTGAATTGTTATTATTTTTGTATTATATCAACCTATGTTCGAACCAAATTTTATTAAAATCTGTCTTGTACTTCAGGCAATAATAATAGGCCAACACCAGTGTAAATGAAATATTTGTCACTAATTTTTTATATTATTATTATTTTGCCAAGAGTTTTAGAATCCAAAATTTCCAAGCTTATAGCGAATTATATTTGTGAAACTAAAGTGTGTGTAATACAACTGTTGAATGGTTATTATTTTTTTATTATATCAACTTTGTTCGAACCAACTTTTATTAAAATCTGTCTTGTAGCTCAGGAGATAATCACCCAAATATTAAAATTCCCTCAATTTTTAACTCTAGTCTAAATAAAATTTTTCTCACAAATTATTATTTTTTTTCTTGCAAAGAGTTTTAGAATCGAAAATTTTCAGCTTATAGCTTATTATATTTGTGAAACTAAAACATGGTTTATGTATTTTTGTTAGCATCATCGTAAAAAACTTCAGGGCAGACGATTAGATTATGATTGCAAGAAAAGAAAACAAGCAAAAAGTAATAATGCTAAGCTTTGTTATTAATTTCATATACTTTTTTCTTACCTTGTCTTTTTATAACTATATTTATGTTCTGAATTGGTGTGTTTATTTAATCTTTATTTAATTTTCCTAGCTTTTTAACATTTTAGTTTAATTAAGTTTTTTTGCATAATCTATCTAATCAAATGTTCTTATTTCTTTATTTCATTGAAAAGGCGACCATACAGGTAAGAATAATAAAAGATTATAAATTAGCTGTATAGGAGAAGCTTGTCATCTTTAAATCAAAATGCATGCACTTTGTGAATAGTTTATTTTGTAAACATTAGTACAAGCTTCTTTTATACTTGTAGAAGCTTTAGTGCATATTGCTTTTTAAAACATGCATAACTTATTTTCTGAATATTCTAAATAATGCCTTGTAGACTTTTAGCTTAGCCTGTATTATGCACTTAAATAGTATGGCGTGAAGCTCAAATTTTTCTATTAATGCATTTTTCTTCTTGATAAACTAATAAACATGCATCTTGTGAATTCGGCATAACACATTTATTATTTAAAAAAATTTTTTTTAAAAAATTGAAATTAGAAAAAACATTATTTGCATGAATAATTTGTTGCCAGTTATATTTTATACTGAAAAATGAGTGTATTATTTAAAAATCAATGTTTAACTGAAATATTAAAACAATATATATATTGTGCTTCAATTTGTTTATATATTTAAAGATCAATCAATCCAAATTTTGTGCATATCAGTATGCTCTTTTATTCAACCTTTTCTTTAAAATTGTTTCTCTTAAATAAATATAAAAATGTAGTTCTCACAAAAAAAAAGACTTTTGAAAATCAAATGTATGTTTTCTTATGAAGAGTTAATAAGGAAAATAAAGCTAATGTAGATATTTATCATTATGTGTTTTAGGGTGTGCAGTTAATTTAACTTCCAACATTATTAAATTAATGTAAATAAACAATTTTTATGTGGAAATGTTTTTATTTAATGTATCCTTGATTTGTATGATCAAGTGTGCAAGATTTTAGTTCAATTTAGTAAATAGTTTTAATTAAACTTTAATTTTGCCCAGATTAAAAATATTGAGTAATTATAAAATAAGGTTTCTAGGTTTTTCTGAGAGGTACCTATTTTGTGAAAGTTTAGACATAATTTGTGAAAATTAAAAATTATATTAAATAATCAATTCAAAAATATGAATTTATCGTTTCTTACGGGATATAAAAATTTAAGAAAAAGTATTTTGTGGAACTACCATTTTTCCTAAAGTTGAACTTGTGAAGGTACCACTAAATGGTAGTAACTTAGGCCTGGACAGGCATCTGATGTATAAGTCAATAACAATAATTTTTAGACATTTACTCAGTATGTAAAGGAATATGTTTAATATTTAAATCATACACTTATACATATTGCTAATATAAATAATGCCTATATTGTTATTTGTTAAGGAAATGTCCATTCGTAGTCACATAATGACATAACCCTATGTTCAGTTTAGTACTATATGTTTGAATTTATTTCTTCAATATAAATCTTTACTGAGTAAGGAATTCAAAAAGAAAAAAGATGGGATATTTATTTATTGGATAATGATAGCAATACCATTTTGGAAAAAGGAGTCCTCAGAATATTAATTGGTATTGTTAAACCTCAATATACTAATTAAATAGTGCAAAAGATTATTTAAATGTTGAAATGAGACATGAAAAATGTTTAAATTTTCTGATCAAATAAACCTTTTATCCTGCCAGAGAAAGATTTCTGACCACTCAAATCTAGGGTGTGATCTGAGAAATTTGTGCCCTTTGCTATTTTAACTTTTTGTATTTTTTGTCATCTTTTTTAAATTGATTAACACATATAGTATCAATTTCTAAGACTAGATTATTCAAAAACTGTTATTTCTTGTGATTATTTTTTACTGTTTAATAGCTATCTAGAAATTATTGAAATGTGAATAATTTTTACTTTATCTTAACCTATAAAATTTTATTACTGAATCCTAAGTTAATGTGAAATAAATTGGAAACTTTTTTGGAATGTAGCTTTTTGAAAAATTAGATTTGGCTAAAATCACAAAAATTAAAATATCATTTGGGAATTAAAATTTTAACTTTTCTATTGACCAAACTATTAATGTCCTATGTTCTAAATTATCCCTTATCAGCCATTTTTTAAAAGCCTGGGATGTGATATCAAACCGAAATTTTTGTTGTTTTTTTCACTTATCAAAAGGTTTGTTTATTCAAAGGAAGTAAATTTTTGTGACTAAATTTGTAATTTTAATTATCATATCTATAGATTAGATGAAAACTTATTTCAGATGATTAAAAAAGATATGCCTTATCTTACACTTTAGCACTTTAAAAAAAAGGTTATGAATGATATAAACAATAACTTATCAGTTTTTAATTGTTTTTTTTTTCTTTCAATTTTTTGCCTTAAAGCTTTCTAAATATTTTAACAACGTGCTTTGTAATCCAATTTTTGATGTCATATTTTAAAATTAGATGAATGCCCAATTTTGCATTCTAATTTTAACTTTCTTTTATTATAGTGTCACATATTCAAAAGAACTTTTTAACAAATTTTGAGCATGGTTGTATTTACTTACTTGTACAACATTTTGAATAAAAACTTATTTGTGTTTAACATTTCATGAAAAAGATCCTTAAGTCTTTTAATTAAAGATGTATTTTGTTCTCTTCTGTGTATAGTGTGTTGTTACCCTTTATATAAATTTTTAAATTCTTTTATAAACGTAAATTTACAAATATTTTAATAAGCATTGATTTTCAAGAATCTTTACACTTTTTTCTTTAAGCTTCAAAGAATGCAGTTGAATGATTTCAAACATTTAATGCTATTTAAACTTTAAAAATATGAATTACTGTTTAGAACTTTGAATTTACATCAAAATTTAAATTTTAAAAAAAACATAGGTTCTTAAAATATTTTGCATTGTGCATTGAAATGCTCTAGTTTTGTTTTGACTTGTGATTGTGATAGTTTTAGAATAGTGAATGTTTTTAGAATGGTATTGTTTTCTATAAAAGAATGCATTCTTTTATATTCTGCTGTTATACTAAAAATATTAACATTTGTATTATTTGTTTCATGTGCTGCTCACGTACCAAATGCAGCAGGTAATTAGCATTCATTTAACTTATCTTTTTTTCAGTATTCAATTTAGATTACCTTGTAGCAATTTAAATTGCAAGGTGCTAATTTTTTAGCTTTAAAGTGATGGCTTAACAATGCAACAGTCTTAAAATAAATAATTTTATTTGTATTGTGTTTCTGTTTTATTTAAATTTCAATCTATTAAAAAACTTAGATTAAATTGCATAAGAATTGTTCTCCGTCTTATATAATTTGAATTTTCACTTTATATAAATTATTTATACACTACTTATTTAAAATTGATGTATGCAATGAGCATTTTAGTCTCATCACTTATTCGGGGGATCTGTATATCACTGATACTTATAAGTAAGCTGTGACTGATTTGTCGTAAAGAACTGGGATTCGATTCACAGCTTTGAGACTAAGAAATTGCAGCATGAAGACCACATTGCCACAATCATGATAATTTTCTTGAAATTATGGAGACTTAACCTCCATCAACCCCATGGCACACAATGGGCTGTTGCAGTAATGCTGCTTTTTTAAGTATATTGTGCAAGTAGTTGTTTCTAATCACACTTGGGAAAGCCATTGGCCTTGAAAATTGAATCAGAAAGAAGCGCCTTTTGTTTGACAAGCGAGAGCACCCTAAGTGTCTACATGTGTCTTTGCTCTGAACTCCCTGTACATACTTTACGGGTATCAATGATAGACATTATTATCATATGCTGTTTTATCATTGTTTTCCTTCAAACTTTATCATTTACCCTTTTAAATACTTTTTCTTGCATTGATCCTCTAGTGCAAAGCTTACATTAGTTAATTTTTTTTCAATCTGTATTTAGATCTAAAAAATTTCCTATGGTAAATAAGGCCTAAGGTTTGAAATTAGAAACTTTCAATTGGTGTTAAAATAAATCACTATAGTTACATATGACGTTATGTTCTACACGCATGACAGCCTGGGTAGATTAAATCAAACACCTTAGTTTGACATATATCCTAATACATAGCTGCCAACTCTACTGCATTTTCCCTGTTTCTCTTGGTTTACTGATATAATAAAACTTCATGCGGTTTTTGTGCGTTTTAAAAAATTCCCTAAAATCAGTAAGTTTTTGAAAAAAATCCCTATTAAAATAGAATTTTTACACAATTTATTGTTTGCTTGAATGTTTAAATAAGTATCACACCAATGCATAATAAAGCGAGCCTCACTTACAGTAATCAGTTTAAGACTTTTCTTTCTTTCGCTTTCATTGTTTTAAAATTTTCACTTTGTTTTAATTCAGAACTCCCTTTTTAAATTATAAAATTTTTTTTAATTATCAATAGTGAATAATACTTTTGCACCTACTACTTTTTGCAGACCATTTATAGTTATTAGTGTAATAAAGTTTCGTATTTAGATGACAATGAAAATCGTTAAAATACCCTATATGTAAAATATTTAGTATATTTATGCAGCAGTTATCATGAAATTGTTATTATTTCTTAAAATCTACTCGATTTTTTCTTATTATTGTTGGCAGCTACTGCTGGTATATAAAATAAAATATGTGAAGTAAAAAATCAATTTAGAGGTAGTTCTTAGAACTCGTATGAAATTTGAAGCTTATTTTACAAATTCCTTATACTTCTAGTGATGTAATATTTTTGTAAAATTTAATTATAGAGAAAATGTTTTGTCTTATGTTTTTTTAATTGTTCTCTTAATCATGAGATTAATGCTAATAGCCTATATTCCTCATTACAACATTACATTTTATATCCAACTGAATAAATGCTCACCTAGTTTTACTTTTTCTAACTAAAGAAATTTAGACAGAAGTAAAAAATAGTAATTTTTTTGAAGGTTAAAAAAAGGTTGGTTTCTACAAAATTAGTATTTTAACAATTCTTTACACAGTTAAAAATTAGGTTTAACTCTACTCCTTTACATAAAATATTGAAGGAAGCTACTATTGTTTCAATTTCTTAAGAAATTCAATAAATTTTCTTTTTGTTTTCGCTTATTTAAAACTTCTTAAATAGCTTAGAAATTAGTTCTTTTTTGAACTAGGTGGTAATTATAAACTGTTTAAAAAATTGTTTTAATATTTTATATTTCTCTTCAAATAAAATTTTTTTTTTCCATCTCTCTCTCTTGAGTTGAAAAAAAACCTGTGTCTTCCGAGGCTTTTTTTTTTCACCGTGGACAATACTCGCCTTGCCTATTTTAAAACTATTTTTAATTCTCTAGTTGGTATAATTCAAATTTCAGCCAGTTTTAAGTTTTATTCAGATTTTTATTTGTACTCTCCTTTTTAGTTTAAAATAAATGTTGCAAAATATTTTTCTTTTTTAATAGGAGCCCACCTGAGCGAGGAGGAGATCAAGCTAGCTGAGGATAAATTTGAAGAGAGTTTTAACCTGGCCTCTATGGGAATGTTTAATCTTTTAGAAAATGATGTAAGTGTGTAGTTCTTATTTTGCACAAACAAATATTATGACAATAGATATGAAATTTAATTCCTCAATTTATAAAATAAAGATTGATTTAATATAATAGGACCTTTTTTCTAAATGGCAAAACTTTCTTGAGTTACAATTGGGTGCTGATTATCTGGCTGGTCCAGTGAACTAAAGCCTAAAACTAAGCCTAACAAACACAAGGAGGAAGAAATGCCTTTTTTTCAAACAAACTGGAANCAATAGATATGAAATTTAATTCCTCAACTTATAAAATAAAGATTGATTTAATATAATAGGACCTTTTTTCTAAATGGCAAAACTTTCTTGAGTTACAATTGGGTGCTGATTATCTGGCTGGTCCAGTGAACTAAAAATCCACTACTTGACAGACTTGAATATTTATGAAAATAATAAACTCTAAATTACATTTTTTAACTACTAAAATAATTATTAATTATGACAAGAGGCTTAAGTGGCCGGTAGTCGTATCCTTAGCAGTAGTCCGGTTAAATAAAAATCTGAGTAATTGGACAGTGTTAAAAACTTAGTAAAAATTATTGGCATACGCGAGGAAAATGTTGCAAAAGCATATAAAATTTGAAATTCATTCTATCTGATTCTTGAAAAAAAATATCTTTCTTTTATTTGAGGAACTAATTCCCTTGCTTCATTAAAACTAAGCCTAACAAACACAAGGAGGAAGAAATGCCCTTTTTTCAAACAAACTGGAGAAAAAATGCAATTTTTTTTCCCTGCAGACAATCTAAGATGAATGTTTGCAAAAATAAATATATTTTTGGAGAAGGTGGGAAAAATATACATGATACTGGACAATCGAGTTAATTAAGTAATTTGGTTAATTAACATTCCAGATAAACGGTGTTCTGCTATATATCTATTTGACTTACACATTTAAAAATTGACAATGTTTCAGTTCTTGCCTGTTAGGTCTCCTTAAAAATATCTGTTACTGTTTTATCAAAAGTAATCAGGCATTACTTCTGCATGACTTTAGTCAACTTTGTTTTACGCCTTTAATAAAAACCATTGATATTTTGGCATTTTATTAGTTTTTTTTTTACTGTATTTTTTATTATTTTACACTTATATGTATTTCTACTTGTATCATAGTAATATCTTTTATCCTGTTTTCATTTTCAGGTAGAACAAATTTCTCAATTAGCATCCTTAGCAGAAGCACTTTATGATTATCACAATCAGTGTGCGGCCATACTACAGAGTGCTGTCGAAAGGCTTGTCGAACAGTAAGTACACAAGATACATTACTATTGCAGTGATTCTGATCATCAGATCAAGTTCTTCTTGGTGTTACAGAAGGAAAAAGGAGTGTTGTGAGAAATGATCAAGCAAACTATTTCAGATGGTTATAACCCAACATATTTTAAAATTGAAATAACTTACTTTAATTTAGTTATGTTACAAACACTATAATCTTTTTATTTTGAAATGGCTTAGGAAGATCACCCTATTTTTTTCTAGGAATAAGGAAAAAAAATTGATGAAGATTGGATAAGTTCGATAATAATTAGATAAATTTGAAGATTCATATTTTACATAATGTGTACAAAATGGCAATTATTTGTGTACAAGTGGCAAAATTACTAGCTTATACTTTGCAAAAAAGCAACTATTTGTAAACTGTCAGTGTCAAAAGAAATAAAGAGCAAGAATGATTAGAAATCACATGCTGTTTTATTGAAATATATCATAAGTAGGGCCCTATAAATTATGCGGAAATTTTTTAAAAATTATGCGGCGAGTTTTAAAAATTATGCGGCAAGGATGCGGTGTCTTTAAAAAATTATGCATGCAGAAATTAGTCCAGAAGCTGCGTTTTCTTTCAAACTCTGTCTTTGTTTTGTAAAAATTTGGCCGTAGCAGGATACAGCTCTTTCACAATCTACTGAATTATGAAACACTGAGAGCACTTGTCTTGCTTTTTTAGTAAGTTCTGGAAATCTCTCTGAGACTACCTCTGAATTCCAGAATCTAATTAAGTCCTGGTTTGAACATTCTTTTACATATTCTTTTTAAGTAGCATACTCGAGTTTTATATCTTGACCACTCATTCCTGGAATATTCTTGAATACATCGTCCTCTTCAATATTGAGGTTGACTATTTGTTCTGGATCGAAAACTCGAGCAGCTTTCATGAAGTTTAATGCAGGTTGACTAAACTTAGGCCCGCGTTTTTTGAATACGTCTAGTTCTGGAGAGTAGTAAGTATTCAACTTTGCAATTTTTTTGTGAAACACTTCTTGAAGAAATACGTTGCGTGAATCTTTTCGCGGGTATGATGCCTGAGAATTACATCGAAGTTTAGACGGCAGATCAAAAATCTTATTGTAAGCTTTGTGAATAGATACACCACATGTTTCGAAAAAGAGAAGATTATCCATTAATATCTGAGCGTGTTCTGCAATGAACTGAAAGTCTTTGCAAACGTACTTGCTTCCCACCAAAACTTTGCACTGATTGAGACAAGTAGTGTCAGGAGTAAGGTTTATTTCACTGCTAAAAAATTCTATGTAAACATTACAATATTCAGCATGATATTGCACTGATTTAAACCAGGAATTCCACCGTGTCTTTATTGGTACTGGACAAAGTTTAGCTTTCTTATTGTCATCTGTTAAAAACTTTAAATAGCGGCGCTTTCTTGCAGGACAATGCTTGAACAATTTCTTAAAGTTTCCTGTGAATTTGTCCACCTCTGTCAGATTCTTGGAAAGATCTGACCACCTGACCAAAAAGATTCTTGGAATTGAAAAAGAAGATATGTTTCAATTGAAAAAAAAACCCTTAAGGAGAAATTTATCTGGTCAACGAATACATTTTGCTGAAAAATAAAAATTATACAGATATGCTGCGACTACGCGGAAAATTGTAAATTATGCGGATAATTGTGAATTATGCGGGTTTCCGCATCTTCGCATAATTTATAGGGCCCTAATCATAAGTATGTTACACAATTTTTTAAAAATTGGCTAAAATATTTAATCTAAAATGAGAAGAAAAGTAGAAACCTTAAAAGAATTTTTTTGATCCTAATTTATTATTCAAACTTATACGGGAAATATGGCTCTTTATTCATATATTCAGACAAACTTACTTTGTGGAAAACTTTTTTAACGTAAATTAACCAAAAAAGAAAGAAAAAAAAACCAGACAAGCCCGGATGCTTTATTAATCTGTCAGCAATGGGACTCAATCCCATGATCCCACTACTCTTTATGTGTGAATGCATTCATTCATTTATATTTTAGAAATATGTTTAAAATTAATAACCATGCATTTTATCTGCTTAATTTAATGCATACTTATAACTTTAACCGTTAGTTGTTTTAATTAGGAAAAACGAAGCAGCGAGTCGTCCAAGAGAAACTTATCAGCCTAAAAAACTGCACGAGTTGAACATACCCTCACTTCATGATGATATATCACCTCAAGTAGAATATGGAGGTAATATTAATGGTGGTACAGTTCTCCCTATAATAAAAGGTAAATTGTCTCATTTATTGTTAAATTCACTTCAATGCATCAGGCTGATGGCCCCCTGCGCTGCACCTTGCTTCAAGCTCTCTTTTTCTCTGACTTGGTAAACTTTTACTTACTAACATATTCTAAGCAAAATGTCGTTTAAATTTCTTTTTTTTCTATTTAGGATAAGAATGATCAGAACTTCCATTGACACATATCAGCACATAATTGATACATAATTTAATTCAATTTGATTTAGATTTTATCTCAATTGAGCAACAATAAATATCAGAATTATCTTCTGAATAATATTGAGCAAATTCTGAGCACAATAAATACAGCATTTACTATCGTACAATTTCTAATGGGGAAATATTGATTATACCTAACTCTGTAATATCCATATTAATTTATTCTGTTGAATTAGTACTAGAATATTTATTTTTTTTCTTTACAAGTTTGATGACTGAATATTTTTCTTTATTTGATTTCATTATGCAACTTATGCTGAGATCGTTTCAGTCAGCCTTTATTGTTTTGACTGATTTGATTCGATAGAAACCTACTATACAGTTTTTTTAGTGGCATTGTGTCGTGGATTTTGTGACTGTCCTGTATTGATATTTTCAATTTTGCCTTTAAAGGTTTTTTTTTCTTAAGAATAATTCTTTAATCAGTGTAATACAAATTTACATTGAAAACAAAACTCGTTAGCAATTGAAACTCACATTACAAAAAGGCATATTTAACCACTCTTTTTAAAAGCATGTTATCACAACACATTTGAATGAATTAGCATGCTATCACGAAATTTTTTTTTTAATAAAAACCTAATCATATTTTAACTATAATGCCTACAGCATTTGCAGCTTGCTGCTCTGATGCATTTGCATAATTTAGAGAGATAATATTTTATGGATTCACATTTTTCTAATTGCATTCACATTGCTATAACTCTCATAATTGAAAAATGTCTTTCAAATTACACATGAAATTGGGAAAATTAGCATGTTTCTAGCGAAAACTTTCTCGCAGTGACTGAATGAATTTTATCTATCAATATTATTGCTTTCAGCGTTTGCAGCTTGCTGCTCTGATATGTCAATTATGACATTTAGATATTATCACTGACACCATTTTACGAAAATCATTTAGTAATCCTACTTAAATAGCATCAATGTGTTATAAGCGGAATTTCAATATTTAATAGAGTCGTTTGTTTTGTATAGCTTCTCCTGCACGATCTCCTGCGGGTACTCCTGTCGACCCTCCTCCTCACAGAAATCTCTTTCTTGGTGGCCTTACAGCTGGTAATCAAATGTCAGCTACTTCTCCTGGTCGCTCTCCTAATCGGTCTCCTAACGGTACTAACGTTCCTTCTTTTAAAATGTACTATATCGTGCAAATTAATTGGGCTCAAAAAAGTAATTTTTAGAAGCAGCAAAATTTTTATTCATAATTATGTTTTAAGAAGTTTGTCAAAAATATTAATGAAATCTTGAAAACATTTTGACATTTGCGCCATTGATTTCATTATGCTTATATTATTTCTTCATGTCTTTTTTCCATGTGAATCAAGTAACATTATGTAAATTTTACTGAATGAATCTCTTGATCATTTTTAAGTTATGACAAAGCATTAATTCATGTTGAAGTGTCCTGTCTACGTAGAACAATCTTATTTAGTTTAATTTATCCTGCCTTCAACGAGGACTAAGGGTTCTGGGCCATTTGTCACAAGAAAAAAAAATTGCAAGCAGACAATGTTTTACATTATTTTGGACATGCTTAGGTTTAGGTGTAAGAAAAACTAGAACTGTAACTAACTTAAAACTGAACCCAATTATTTTTGTGCTATATAGTACTTTTACAAAGACAAAGGCTGTGCAAACTTTTTCATTAATACTGTTACCTCTTGGTGCTAAAGTATAAGCAAAATGACTATCAAAAATGTCTATAAATAGTGTTATTCAGAACATTTATTTGGAAGAATAAATTCAGTTCTTTTATAAGGTATGGCGAGTAAAATAGAAATTAAAGAGATGTTTCGGGACAAAAATTATAGCTTCATAAATACATAGCCTCAACTCCAGTAAAACAATTTACAGGGCGAGCAACAGACTCATATCTAGCAGAGAATCATGTTTGTTAAGATCCAGCTCATACGGAGTATAGTGTCAGTTAGGAGTTACGTCACCTGTGAACCAGCTGTTGGAGAATTTAATGTGTATAGTTGTGTGCTCTGTAGGCTGCCAACCGCCATTTTAACTTTCTACATCGAAGTGAGTTAGCAGATTTAATCAACATGCAAAATATTAATGTGTTCTCAAAGAAATATCTTAATTGCGCAAAATTCAGAACAAACCAACAATAAATAAAGAGAGAACTTTTCTTCTTCACCCCAACCCCAGTTATGGTTGGGAGGAGAGGAGGGTGCAAACCTGTTTCAAAAACCTCTTCTGTTGTGTCCCTAAATGGTTTCTCCTTTATACACAGGGACTGCACCTAACGTTGGGGGACTGGTTAACATTATGGCTATGGAAGCCAGACTTCTTCCCCTCTAAATATTCTTTGCCTTCATCAAAGACGATCTCTTTGTTTAGACATCAATATTTTCTGTCTTTAATTTTAATCTTTTGCATATAAGAAATATGATTGTAGAACCTATTCCATAATATTTTAGCATTAGGAGTAAATAGTCTAAATGATATGTTCTTGCACTTTTTTGAAATACTTTTAGAAATAAAAAGTTTTTGCACACAAATAGATTTGAAATAGGTTCTTTGCTAGTAGTTTAGCTTAATATTCAGGTAAAATGAAATTTATGTAATTTACATAAATTTCATTTTATAACAATTATAAAATAGTTATGTAGCACTTATTTTAAGTGCTACATTACTATTTTATAATTGTTTTCGGCAAACAAAATGATACAGTAATACAGGTTCCTTTTTTTTTACCTAACTTTTGAACTGAGTGACTGATTTTTTTTAAGTGAATTGCTTTGATTATTTATTTGTTTTTCCGCTGCTTTTGCAGATTATGTAGTCCAAATTCTTCATACTACAATGTTTAAAAAGTATTCCTTAATTGTGTGTCATATTAATTCAACAGATAAAAATTTAGTAAACCCTTTTTTTACTGTTTTAAATTTTGTAGCAAAAAAAATTTAAATACTTTAACATTTGAAAAATGATCTAATAATCATTTTCTTTCCCCTTCTCCGAATGTTAATATACCAGATTACTATTGAATAATTTGACAACAAGTAAAACTTAACATGTCAGCGTAACAAGACAGCTTTGTATTTTAGTCAATATTTTAACGCCAATATTAAAATTTCTGTGAGATTATTCAATTCAAACTCATAATTTTATTTAAATAAATTTTACTGAACTATTTCTTATTTTTTAAAAAAATGCATTGCCTTTGTCTCTCTTTTTATTCTTTTACTAATACTTTCTTTTCAATTCAATTATATCTCCATCTAACATACTTTGCTTCTCTTCTTATTGGTGTGCATGTTTTTACTAACAAAATAATAATAGGCCTATGCTTGATCATTGCTGCATATTTATTGTAAATGATCTCTCAGCATCTCCACTACCCTCTCCTGTTCGTTCTCCAGCCAGAACTCCAACCATTCAACAGCCATGTTGCCAGGCGCTTTACGACTTTGATCCTGAAAACGAAGGAGAGCTGGGCTTTAAGGAAGGTGATATTATAACATTAACGAGTCGTGTGGATGACAACTGGTATGAAGGCAACGTCAATAACAAAACGGGACTTTTTCCTGTGAACTATGTGCAAGTCCTAATGCCATTACCATAAATACTAGGTAATTTTTGTTTCATTTAATGATTACCATATTTGTTTTACTTAATAAGTTACATATATATATATACAGTCAGTATCGGTTATATGGTCAGCTCATGGGTCCAAAGTATTATGACCATATAAGCGGTGCGACCATATATGCGATAAACAAATACAGTCGAACCTGCCTAGAAAGGGGAAAAAATTTGAGATAGAGAGGTTTCGAGATATACAGGTAAGTTTAAAAAATGAAATTCGAGNTAATTATTAAGGTGCATAATAAGAAAGAATGCAAAAATAATTTTTATACTTTTAGAAAAATTTAATTCTTTACCTTAGCACGTACATGTTCAAAAAGAATATTCCAATAAGCTTGTCTGTTTCTTCTTCTTGGTTGTAAAAACAACTTTTTCTAAATCTCTGATAGTTTTTAAATGTTCATCTGTTGCATCTGAATTTGCAAAAAAACACCTTAAGTCATTTGCCTTAAGAGCATCAGCTGTTGATTCAGACTTTTTATTGCATTCAGTATCATCCTCATCGTCCCTTCCTTCAGCATTCAGATTTAAGACATTAAATACACTGCCTTCCACAGTTGCTTCACAATTAGTGTGGACATCAACATATACAAATTTACGGAATACAAATTTATGTCCGGCATTGCATTGCCTCGGTTTCGAAGATTTTCTGCCAATTCAGCTAATGGAAGATCTTCCTCAGGGTCCTCTAATGATACCGAAGAGTCTGGAGAACTGTGGAACCCCGCGTGACGGAAACAATTTTCAATAGTTTTCGACGACACCATGTTCCAGCTTTGGTCAATATAGAACAGTGCGTTCAAAACTAAAGCGTGAATTTCTGCTATGGCGGTGATCATATCCCGTAGAAGAAGCTTTCTATACATAGACTTGAAGCTTTGAATTATGCCTTGATCTAGAGGCTGCAACACACATGTGCTGTTTGGAGGCAAAAATACGAGCTCAATCGATTTCAAGCCCTCAACAGGACAGTGCAGTTATCAGCAATCAATGCAACTTTTCTGTTTTTTTTTTTTGAAAAATGTAGGTCCCACCTTCTGAGAGTTTTTTCCCAGATCGTTTGGGTCATCCATGCTTTGGAATTGGCATCGTACAAAAGGGGCAAAGATTTACAATTTTTCAGAAATTTTCCAAACACCAAAGGAATCATTTTCTCTGAACCATCCATGTTTGCAGATAACAAAACTGTTAAGCGTTCCTTACTTTTCTTTCCGCCTATACATTTTTCTCCTTTGAAGCAAAGGGTTCTGTCGTGTAAGATCCTGTAGAAAGGTTCACATTCATTGACGTTGAACACGTTAGCAGGTTCATATCTTTCATGAATATCTTGCAACACTACGTCTTTCCATTCTTTTAAAAAACTGTTGTCAAAATCAGCAGCTTATCTGCACAATTTCTTAAAGAATAGGTTCTTTTTTGCATTGAATCGCTGTATCTAGCCATTACTTGCAACAAAATTTGATTCTCCAAGTTATTTAGCTATTTCTAAAGCTTTTTCTTTTAGAATATTCCAAGATATATATATCCTGGAATATTCTAAAAGAAAAAGCTTTAGGAGCTCCTATAGGAGCATTTTGTGATCGTGCATATTTGATCCATGACAGAAGAGCCTTCTCCACATTCTCATAAGGTGACACACGCTGACGTTTTCTTTCTCGGTCGCTAATTGAAAAATCTGGAGAGCTACGTTTGGCTTCTAAAATGTTGTTTAAAGTTGTTTGCGGTATAGAATTTTCTTTGGCAAAAGTAGCTTTTGAAAGGTTAGACTTTTTTAACTTTTCGACCAATTCCTTTTTTCCCGATATTCTTAAGTTCTTTCTTTTCGAAGCCATAAGGAAAGCATGGATACATTATTCGTTCAGTAATCCAATAAAAATGTTCTTTTTTCTCAACTTCAATTTCTTTTCAAGCTCTAAGAGATAACTTCAAACAATCAAAAGACCTTTTGCCCTTGGGCGGGGAAAAGAATGCGAGTGGTCAAATAAGGAGAGGGTAAGGTCATCAATGAATGCAAAAGAGAAAAGAGGGTAGGGCGACAAAATAGAGGGGGAAATTCCAGTTCTCTCCGAGGGTCGAAGGAATGTGTTTACTTTCTGGTCATTTTTCTTGGCTTCCTGTCTAAAGAAATGTCTTAAAATGTTTCTTTTTTCAAAAGAAGAATAAAAGGAAACTGACCATATAACCGGTAACTCGAAAAATAGGATGACCATATAAGCGGTGAGCTTTAACACGTGTTTCCTATTAAGTTAGACGGGACTTTAGAAAATTGACCATATAAGCGGGGTGACCATATAGGCGGTATTGACTGTATATATATATGTAAACTGTTTAAAGAAGAAAACATTTTTAACTAATATCAATGTATGTCTGTGTTTTTCTTGCACTTCACTTTATAACTATGGTCAGCAACTACCATTTAAGTTTGTATTTGTCCAAGTAATAAATATAAACTGAATGTACCCGTTATATTAGTTATATATTTATTGTATTGTATCAATTTGAAATTAGACATCAAAATTTGGTTTAGAAAAGCTTAAATTTAATACTTAAATCAATTTAATGACAATATTTGTAACATTTATTATGAAAAGAAAATTCCATATTCAAACTTATGATGCTGCATTCTTCTAAAATAAGCTCTTTAGTTGATAATTGCTTTGGAATAACACCAACAAATAATTTAGTTTGAAAAAATATTTCAGAAATTTTTTATAAGTGGCTTATTTTGTTTTAAATAGTGACATAAATTATAGCAATTGATAGCAAATAATTTTTGCATCTTCGATTGATGCAATGTTGGTAATCAGAAACTCTAAATAGTATTAACTCTCTGTAGTTTCTGCGCAATTTCACTTGTTTTTACAGGAATAATAACCTATTCTATAGGCAAGTCCTATTTTAATAGACTTTTTTTTCCGGAGATTGTTGTTTCGGTCATTTTTTTATTGGTTTTTAAGTTCCAATATACTTAATATGATATTATTACTAAACAAAATTAATTAGGCCAAATTTGGAAAAAGGTATAGTCTTTATTTATTAAATTCATGCCTCATGCTATCTACATTCAAGCAATGTTATGTCAACCAAGTCAAGACTATTGCAGCCTTTATTTGTAATTTTAATAATTGAAATCTTTATTTGTAATTTAACTTTGTAGAGTAGTAATTTTTTATTATATAATAAAATCAATTATCAAATCAAAATATGGTTAAACCTAATTTCAGGAAAGTTCTGTAAAATAAATTTTGTTGAATTTTTATTATTCCTTATTCAATAATTATATTTTGGGATTTTTATATGGGCAAGGATGAAATTTCTATTTTCTTAAATACTTACGTATATATTTTATGTGAAAGATATATGTATTACTGGCTTTTATCAATTCATCTAACCACAATCATAAAATTTTATCAAACCATCTGTTTGATAATTAAAAATTTTTACAAAAATGAAATGAGCTGCAAAATCCCAGGTTATTTTTATGAACCAAGGTTAAAGATCTCTTTACTTTGTTGAATTGTAACTCTTTCGTGTTTTATTATTGTATAAGAAAGTGTCATTTTTCTTCTAATGTTATTGAATCAAAACGTGTTTTTTTTTTTTTCTTCTTATCCATTTTCTTTGTAGTGACTTTTTGTTAAAATTGGTCATTTTTAAGTAATATGGTAACTAAAACCACTTTTTACTAGAAAAATTGGCTGCTACTCCTGAGTTTTTACTTAAATTTAAGAAGACATAATTTACTCGTAAGAACAGGTGGTCTTGTACTCATATCAGTTTTATTATTATGATAGTGTTATTTATTAGAGAAGTAATGAAAAAAGAATTACATGCCTTCTGATTTAGAGTTTTGGGTAATGCATCCGACTTTTATTCTATTATGTTATCGATTGAAATATAAATTATTGTTTAGTTTTCGTTTGTAAAATTAAAGTTTGTAGATTTTTAAAAATTGTAAAAAGTTCTTTTAATTTATGGTAGCAAATAATGTTCAATAGAAAATTGTAGTTTACATATTAACACACATTATATTGCCCATTTATCCTAGATTTTATGACATTTTATTTTAGGTCTATATCTTTTGGGGGCAACTGATGGAAACTATTTGGAATTCAGTGACAAAAGAGAATTTTGAACACTTCTGTTATTTTTTTTTAATTTGTAAACAGCTTTGCCAAAGATCTTTTCTACACAACCTAAATTCGATGAAAAAAAATAGTCCTGTTTTTTGGAAAAGAAGTGAAGAGATTATTTAGAAGCAGAACTTAATGGACAAAGTTGTGTTTACAAAAAGGCTCATCTATATTTTAGTGTACATTTTGCTTGTTATTGTTATTTGTTATTAAAGTTCCTTTGTGTTTTTTCCCCTTTGTTGAGTTTGTTTTGGCCAGTAGGTATGTAATTTTGAATTGTTTTAAAAAATATTTGGAATAATAGGGACTTTTTTTAATGCAATGTTCAAAAAATTAAAAGTGTAATGCATGCAAGTTTTATTTCTGCCAAGCCTTAAAAAATGATACCATTTGTTTTAGCTTTACTTTTATTATTTACATATTGGTAAAGACGTTAAAAGCACTTTTTTTTAATGGATCTAGTAGACATTCTACATGAAAAAGAATGACTTTTCAATTTTTGAAATAGCTTTTTTTTAAAAAAAATAATAGTAAGCAATTGCTTGGATTATCCGATGAAAATTCTTGAACATGCTTTGTTTGTGTGTTAAATTTTGGTATATGTTTTTGAATTATTTGCCAATATATTACTTGTGGCTGGTCCACTTATTTCATTGTTACATAAAGCTAATTACCAGTGTATGTTTACAGTATTACTCTATTTATTTTAAATGTATAATGCATTTTGTTAATACAAATTTAAATTCTAAGAATGAACTATTTCAACTGAGAATCCCAACCCAATGATTTAAAACTTATTTATTTTGTGTTAGCAGTTATGTTTATATTTTACTGTTTGTAATCTCTGTCCATAAATACGAGTCATATTGTCATTCTTTATGCAAGAATAATTTTAAATTTGTATGCCAGTTCTAAATTATGTATTTCATCTTATTGTGGATAAAAATGTATTATTGTTTATTGAAGTATACTACTTGTTGTACTTAGCCTGAAAATCATTTTTTAAATTTCTGATAAGTGTTATACTGGATAACTTTCCAGCAAATAACCAAGTCATCTGATCAGTTAAAAAAACACTATGTTTTCTGAACATCACTTTGGCCATATACATATTTTCAAGATCTTCATAGAAAAGGAGTCGGTGATTGACTATGAATATTGAGCAGTGAAATTTAGTATAAAACTAAATGACGAAGCTTGAGTTAGATTAATTAAAATTAGTTAAGACAATAAAAATGGATCTTGTTTAGGTTAAAGCAATTATAATTGACCTTGTTTTTTTAAGTTGGGGCAATAAAAGTTTCCCTTAAAAATTTTAACTTTTTATTAAAAAGTCCCCTTTAAATTAAATTTCCTAATGTTAAGAAAAGGATGCGATCAAAACATTGACCTCTTGTGACTAATTAAAGATTATGGTAAGATAAATTTAGACTCTGTGAGCTCCATATTTGAATTGAATCTTGAAAATATAAATTAAAAGTTATGTTTAGAGAATATAGTGATTTTCTCTTATGAAGGGTGGGAAATTAGTGAACCAGTGTTGATTTTTCTGCACAAGATTAGATCTTAATCAAATATTATGTGATTTTAGTATACTGAAAAGGAATCTATGGGACCTACTAATATAAATTTATTCAAAACTAAAAGAATTACTTTTTTTCTGTAATTTATGTTCTAAGTCAAATTTATCTGAATATATTAACTTATGTTGAATTTTAATCATGTACTTATTACAGTAATTCACCTTTGTGGCGAATTCAGTTTTTTTTTCCTTTAATGATTATTACTGAGTACTAAAACTTTGTCAGTTTTTAATTTAATAGATTTGGGATTGCATAAATATATTAATGCCTAATAAAACTATTGCGACAAATTCACCATTTTTACTGATTTTCATACATTTTAAAATGTTTTCAATAGAATACATTAGAAAAATTCAGTATAAGACCAGACAGCAGATTAGTCTGATGATTAAAATTAGCACTCTACACCAGAGGCGTTACAACTTTCCTGTACTAGTGTACTTACCTATCTGTGACCCTCTGTAAATTAGTATTGCTGAAATTAACATTAATAATAGAGTTTAGGTGTTCCTAATTGTATAATGTTTAGGTTATTATTTGCAAATACTCTTTCCAATACATGCTGTGTAAATTGGAGCATTTTTTATCTGTATTGAATGATTTATTCAAAAATCTACTCTTTCCAATTAATTTGAAATTGTATAAGCATTTTATTCAGTACTGGATTTTTCTTATGTACTTTTATGTGGGTTTCTTCACTGGTGAAAGTCACATTAAGTATTTCATGAGTATTCCAATGATGTTAAATCTTGATGAAGATTATTGAAATTAGCAATGTTTTCCACAAAAAAAAATTCCTTTTTTATTTTTTAATTTTTTTTTTTAACCGAATTTCTCAATTGAAGAAATGTTTTGTTTTTCTTCTTTGCCAAACAATAATGAATAGAGTTGAAAATTAGTAGTCATCAGATGCAATTTGGAATTAGAAAACTCTTATTTGGACTACTAGAATTTTTATTACAGTAAAATTTTAACTCCAAAGTTTTTGACACCGCAGATAATATTAATTTCTGAAAATAGTCTTCTATGTTTCTTTCATAAAGTTTGCAATGTTGTAATATTGACAAGTTGTGTAAAATTTTTAAATGTTTTATATTAAAATAGAAAATAATAAGTAAAAAGGAGAATTCAAAATAAATGCTCCTAAATATTTTTCAAAACAACTTTTTCTGAAAATTTTGCAAATTGAAAACGTTTATAATTTTGGCTCCCAGAAAAATTCAACTGCTCATGGAGTTATTTTATTGCTAGAGAAACATATTGCATAAGTTTTGATTACCTACTTCTACTTATTAATTGATTTTATATTACAGTACAAAATTTAAATTTTTTTAATGAATCTGTTTTAAAGCATTAAAAATCCTTTTTGCAACTAATTTAACTGAATCATAATGTCTCCTCAGATGTGTTAAAAAAAGTTTCCATTTGGTGAACAGTTATATGATAATATTAAGCATTTATGAGACATTTTATTATCAGCTTATTGGTTAAAATATTTTTGACTGGCTTGATAAGAATGCAATAAAAGAATAGCTGATTAAATGTTAGTATAAGTATATACATTAGTTGGAATTTACGAATGTTTAACAAAATTTGCCTCTTAAAAAAGTATAATTAGAAATTATCCAAATATGCATAGTAAATTGATATTGTATGTTGATTTTTATTGTGAAGTTTAAATTCAAGAAGAAAAAATATTTTAATGAAATGTGTTGAAAAGAAAGAAGAAAAAAAAACATGTGCCCCTACTCCTGTTCTCCCTGTTCTTTAAACATCTAGATGTTCACACTTTTTCTCTCAATCTTATCATTCTCTTGGTGTAGTAATGTGCTTAATATCGTACTTGTTGTCACATAAATACTATTGTGTGGTTATTTCATTCAATGAAATTAAACTTATTGTAAAAGGAGGGATGGCATCATGAAAATTGTTGACTGGTATACTTGTAATCGATAACGAAACATTTGCCTTTTAGGTGTCTTAACTTTTATATTTTTTGGAATGTTGTGCCTATACTGTGTGTAATGTTAATGTGAATTTGGAACACGTAAAGCAATATTTATACAACTTGGCAACAGTAGAGAGCTTTTATTATTATTATTAATATTCCTTTAATGGTAGTCTTTCTAGGTATAATTTATTTTCTTTTTTTTTTGGGTAGTTTTAATAAATATTGACAAAAAAAATCAGTGCTAAATACTTTACATGATATTTTAACCTAAATATGTATTATGTTGAAGAGAGCTAGGTGTTGTATAACTATATAGTCTTACTATCTTAGCAAAACTATAATTGCACTCTTAAAAAAATAAGCGCACATCTATATAGTTATATTGTTGTTTTGTTTACAGTAAAAACCTATAAACGAAGATTTAGTTTATCAAGCCTATTGACTTATCAATTCTATTATTGAATTGATCAATCCTATTATTTTTGCTATTTATCAGTCTTATTGAGACTATAAATCTTACTATTGAGTTTATCAATCCTATTATAATTTGGTGTATCACTCTTTTTATTATTTAGTGTAAAAATCTTGTTAGTTGGTTTATCAATATTTTTATTGGTTAATTATCAATTCTATTACTAGTTGCTTCATCTTATTACAATGTAATTTTTTGGATAAATCTGCATAAATTTGAAATTGGCTAGTTTTATTTAGTTTTTAAGTGTTTTTTATGTTACTACTAAAGCCAAATACGTTAGACATATTAAATACTTCAGAACCGAACAATAGAATGGTTATTTATTTTTTTAAGGACGCTTTCTGTCCGATTATTAATCTTACAAATATGACTAACTTTTAAAGTGGAGCATTAATTTTATTTATTTTTTACGTATTGTACATTATTTAGGAGCTTGTCTACTTTATTGACGAAATTATTACTTTGAGCTTGTTATAAATGAGTTGTGTCTGATCAGTTCTTTCATTTCTTTTGTTATGTGCTTGCAATCTGTATAATATAATTTTAATACTATAAAAGTATGTCTTAAATTTTGAGACTTGATTGCAATTTTTATTTTAATCAAAATGCATGATAGATTTTGATAATTTTTAATTTAAATTTTGTTGTGGAAGATTTCACTTGAAAATTCTAATATTTAAATGTTATATCATTTAATTTTTAATTATATTTTAACAGTTTGAGATTTTTTATATTTATTATGATGTTTAGCATATTTTTAAGAAGTATTAGACTATAGTTATTTTCGATAGATTATCTCAACACTTGGTCTTAATCTTAACTGCTCTCATAAAAGAAAAGACACAAAAAACTGTATAGCTTTTCTTAAAATGCTCTAATGTTATGAAATAAAGCTTTTTAGCAAATAATATGCTATTTTTATCAGTATTGAGAGTTTGTAACAGTTATATATCATGATTAGGTTAAGTTTTGCTTATCTTAAGCCAAATGCTAACTATGAAAATGGTGCAAAATGTTAATTGGAAGAAAAATTTTTGAAAAATTGCTGCATTGTCTGGGTTCATAGAATATACAAAAATTGAGAGTTATTCCTTAAGGTTAAAATGCTTCATTTAAAAAAAAATTGCAGAAATTTAAATATATTTAGAGTATAATATTTTTAAATTTTTATGCTAATACAAATATAAAAAATAAGAAAATTTAGTCTCTGCTCTGAGGAACCAGTCATTAAAAAATAAATCTACTTATTTTCACTGCTCCATGTACATATTTCTATCAGAATTTTTCTTCAAAAAAGTTAATTAAAGTAATTTAAGTGATAAATTACAATCTAGGGAATGTGTAATGTCACAATTGTAATGAAAAATTTTATTTTTTGACAAAAACACAGACCAAACTAAAAACCAAATCACCTGCCAGTCCGAGGGATCTGATGGATCGTTTTATACTGCTCTGACTACTCTTGGTCAACTATTGTTGATTTCGAGCCCTATTATTATATATTTAATACGTCTTGAAAATATGTTTTCCAAAAATAAATATAATTTATACATTTAGTTTGTGTTGTGAAAAATGTGTTGCTTAAGCTCTACAGTTGCCAAGATTTTTTTTGTGTTTATATTTGGTGTGGGAAGACATAGGAATTATTTTCTAACTTGTAGGAGGGAGGGAAGTTTAGGTAAAGTGTCTACGTTGGTCGTCTTTTTTCTGGCGTTCTTTCTAGTACTTTTTATAAACTTGCATTTTACAACTTTATGGTAATTTTTCTCAATTAATCACTATTGTAATTAAAAGCAATCAGCAGTGATGTCGTGAGAAATGTTTCGTGTGTCCTTTGGATGTGGAAATAGATGTTTTATGATAGCATTTTTGGAGTTTTAATTTGATTCAAAAGGGGGTTTAAAACGAATTACTGTATTTTACTTTTTGGTAGAAGAGTTTTGCAATATCATTGATGTGTCATTCTTTTTCGATGAATTTTACTGTCCGACTCTATATTTTTCAGCAATAAATATTTCAAAATATCATTCCCACTAATCATGTGAGAAAAAGTTTGATTGTTGAGTAAAAGTTGAAAAATAAATCTTATGTATTTAAAGTTGTTTGTCCTCATTTGATATTGAACACATAGTATAAAGTTTAAAGTTATTTCCCTTGTTTCTTTCCACATGTCACTGTTGTATTTCCCCCTTTACAATATTACATTTAAATAAGCTTTAAACATAGGGTAAGTCTAAAACAAAGAAAATAGAAAGACGAGCTCTTCGAATACGTAACTAACGCGGAAAACTGCGATATGCTATACCAGAAAAACAACTTGCAGAGTTCGGATATAGCAGAGCCTACGAAGCAAAGCGGCAGTTTGGAGGTACTTCACCTATGTACCGGTTGTTGGGCAAATTTAATAAACATGGATGAATTAAATGTATTGTAATAGATAGTTGACTGAATGTAAACAATAACAAACTTTCTAGAAACCGGAAGATATTTAGAAAACTTCCGGTGTATACCTCCGCTTATGTTAGCCTTTCGAGGGCGATATGTGAATTGGCTTAATATTCTAGGAAGTTTTATTACTGTCATTTTTGTTTGTGAAATTTTACCTTTTATATGAGTTTTCTTTAATTTATTAATTCTAAGAGATTGTGAGCCGAAAACAAACATGAAAATTAATATAGCAATCATAAGGTTTACCATGTTTTGAGTGTCACCTCTTATTCGGCCATAATTATGCAAAATATCGCCGTTTATTATTTTTTGGGTAGCATGCTTACCGGGACTTCCAAATTCATTTGTTACGTTGAAAGTTAAATTAAATGAACACTTGATATTGCGAACACTATAAGTGCAAAGGTAATGAATGGCACTAGCGCCATCTGTTTTAGCTTTAAAGGATCAACCATTCATAAAAAGAGAGAACTTTTCAATTCCCAACACTTCACCACCCTAGTAGTGGTTTCAATGTGCTTTTTCCTTTATACATAGAGATACAAGAAATGTTTATACATATTTTTTATTCTCAAACATGAACTCAACATATTTTGTGCAAATAATGATAAAGTATTAAGAACAAAATTGTTCGAAATTAAATTAATAAGTGACCATCTCTCCTTAACCCGTTCGGGACTGACGAGTCATAAATGTAATCGTGCGGAATCAGGATAGTAAATAAAAAGTGGTAGCTTATTTTGGGCTTTGAGAGACTTATTTCTGCTTTCACTTTAAATCTAACACATTCAATCCTAGTGTGTTAAAAGTGTAACTATACGATTTTTAACCCGAACTAAGTAGTGGTGAATTAAATAAAGCAAACAATTATTACCCCGCCCACAAATATAAAAATAGTTTTATCTTTTTGACCCTGATTATCGACACACTGAGAATGACTCGCCTGTCTCGAAAATGTTAACGTAGAAGTGAGATGGCCATCTTATACAGTAAGGTTCAAATATGGAAAAATGACACATTTCATACAGTTAGCCGTGAAAAACTTACAATAAGCTGGAAGGAAGGCATTTTATCTAGGAAAATAAAAAGAATATGATAAACAAAATCTAGTTTACAGATTTAATCTCTCACTTTCGGACAAAAAACTTGAACTACATTTTTGTGAAGGTTTGTGCGTGTTTCGTGGAGCCATTGCATGCAGTCTCATCCGGTCACCATTTTTAATTGTGGTTATGTATTCTCCGTAGCTATCACGCTGCTATTCATAGGCGTAGCTTGAGGGGGTGCTGTTAATCTGTTTTAAGCATATATTTGTTTATAAATATACATACATATGAAAATTAAATGTTAAATACATAAAAATAAATAAACTATCAGTTTACTAAAAACAAAAAATTTGTGTCCCTCCCCCCTCGTGCTACGTAAATGTTTATAATCATCAAATTCTGAGTGTAGAATCGAATAATATATATGGTTCCATTGAGTATGTTATAGGGTTCTATCGGATAATATGTTAGGTATCCCCCGAGCCGCGATGGCTCAGGGGATAGAGCGTTCGCCTTCCAATAAGGTGAACCGGGTTCGAATCCCGGCTATGGCTGGTCGAAATGAATCCGCTTTGCACCGACCACTGTTCTGACGTGAAATATCCTCAGTGATAGATGGATCATGGGTTAGAGTCCCCTTACCGTCCGGCTCACTGTGGAAGGTTCTCGTGGTTTTCCTCTCCATGTAACGTGAATGCAGGTTGGTTCCATCAAAAAGTCCTCCACGAAGGCCAATTTCTCCCAATACTTGATCCAGGAGTTCCCTTGTCTTCTAGATTAGGTTCAAAATTACAAGGCTACGGAGTTGAACATTGGTAGTCGTGAACCCACAAGTTGGGTCGGCTGTTCAACGACGGTTATAAAATAAAATAAGTTGAGTTGAGTCTGTAATATAGTCCTCAAAAAAATGGCTAAAATTTCTTTTTATTAGCTCCCATCTTAAACTTACGAAACAAAACCAATTGAAAACCACCAACGAACCCACAGATTTCGTAATTATACTCCATTGCTAGTTAAGAAAATATAAGCTTTCCTGTTAGCATTCAAAAAAACCTATAAAAGATTAATAAATATGGCTTATTCTCTTTTTTCCGACTGAGAAACAAAAGTAATAATTCTTTATATTGCATTTGATTTGTTGAGAGCATGGCATTCAAACCATTTTAATGATGATCATAAGATGCGCTATTTTTAGTGGTCCAATCAAATCCAACGCTGTTGCAACATCACATAGTTTTTCTTTTTTCATGAAGGAATATTCTCTTTATTTATATAAATTTGTCGCCACATCTAGGATTCCAGCAAGACTACGAAACCATAGCTTTTTTAAAAAAAATAATTCCATGATATATGTCGTAAAGATGGCACAAATTAAATTTCTGTCTGACGTGTTTAGCTTTTAAAAGTTTTTATATTGTTTTGAAGGCTTGTTTGTGTTATCTGATAACGGAACTAAACACAGTCGCGGATGATTACTTAAATCCTATACGGTATTTTCTTAACTTGCAAAGGAGTAAAGATTTATTTATTTGAAAATATTAAGGGGGGTGTGATGGTTAAATAAGTTGTATTTTCTTACATTTGCTACTAATTTTTAAATTTTATTAAGGACCCTACAATCCTTGATAGTGCGATGGCCATTCTTGAAGTGGCCATCTCTCCTAAAATTGCTGATGAGATGGCCTCCGAATTTATAGCGTCACTCCACTGTAATACAAATATTGAAATGCCCATATATAGTAAACGGGAACAAATATTGGACTATATATGGGCATTAAAGGTTCAGCTAGTTGGGGGGGGGGGAAATGTTACCCACACATTGAAAAGAAGAAGAAAAAAATGGAATACTTAGTTCACGAAAAATATTTGACACCTAAATGAAATAAACATTAAATTTTTACATACTTTTTGTTTTCACAATAAGTATTACTTTGTTCAAATTGATAAACAAGTTATACTACATCTGTTGCAATATATTAAAAAATATCGGAGATATTGAAATCAGCCAGCTGAATACTTCAAGAATTCATTAATCAGTACTACGCAATAATGCACAGAACTCAAAAGCATACACTGACCGGACCTGCCTGCTTTTTGGGCTTTCGTCTCCTATCTCGGGATCTCGAGGCAAAAAAAATATTTTCTCTTGCATATTTAATAATGTATGAATCAACAGATTTTTGCACACATTTTCAAAAACTATCTCCTCCAGATGGGTGATTTTTTTTAGCTTAGTTTATCTAGTTCATCGTTAGTTCCTTTTTAGAACCTTTAAAGAAATAAAAATTGACCGATCTGATAAATCACGATAGGAAAAAGTGTGATACTCTTTTAACAAAGCGTATACGAGGGCGAGAACTTAATTCATGCTAAAATGGATATTTTAAATTAAATTTCAATGTTTTTTTTGTTTGTTTGTTCGTTTTTTGAAGTTGGTGGTTTTTCTGTGTTTTTTAAAGTATAAGAAAACAAAATGACAAAAGCCTGTTTATTGATATCCTAGATTCAGTGTTGTGCTTAACAGGGTGAAGACGTTTCAAAATTTTTTAATTTTTTATAGGATCGTTACTAAATGGTGTAAGGGGTAAAAGTTTGCAATAGGGTGCGGTTCCCCTCTTATTATTTTTTTTTTATGTCCTTGCAGAAAACAGGAAGAATCACTAATAAGTGTCACTATAAATATCATAGAAAAATGGATGATTCCATGTAGAGTAAAAGCTGCAAGTTACAGTGCCCAATCCAAGGGGTACCCTATTCTATACTGTAGCCGGTGTAATGATAGAAGCTTAAAAATTAATGCCTGTTGAGCCAAATTAATAACCTGGTGGTAATAACCATTCATTCCTGACAGTGTCGCGAAAATATTCGGCAGCGCAACAAAAATCCAGCTCTTATTGACGAGCCCTTTGACGAAACAAACTTCGGATAATTTGTTGACTAAGAAAGCAAACCAGGTAGGATTTCAGCAAAACTTTTTGCATAATATTCTTAAAAACTTAGATCAGTCACTCAGTTTGTTTTAAAACGCTGGATCGATTTATTATTTTAAAATTTTTCATAATAAAAAAGTTACTTTAATAAAAATAATTTAAGGAATGTGTGAATTTCAATTCTTAATGTTTTGCTTATAACGCTCTTCCATGGTCACAAAAATCTTAGGTATTTTGAATATCTGAGGGTGGCAGATTTGCACAATTAAATCGCTTAAAATAAATTGAATTCTTCTTATTTTTCGCATTTATTGGTAACTTTGCGTTATTAGATTTTATTTTAAAACCGTCGCTGAACAGCCGACCTAATTTTGAGTGTGCGACTACTATAGTTTAACTCCGTAGCCTTGTAATTTTGATCCCAATCCAAGAGACAAGGGAAGTCCTGGATCAAGTATTGGGAGAAACTTGCATTCGTGGAAGACATTTTGATGGAACTAACCAGCATTTGTATTTCATGGAGAGGTAAACTACCAAAATCTCCCACGGTCAGCCTGAAGGCAAGGTTACTTTAACCCATGATCCGGCAACCACTGAGGATATTTTATGACAGCACTGTGGTTGGGGCGAGCCGGGTGCGCTATTTGAATCGACCAGCCATTGATGGGATTCTAACCCGATCAAATTTACTGTACTGTTTACATAGTCAATGAGGCTCAGGGAACAGAGCGTTTGAATCTCAGCCATGGCTGATTGATACGAATTCCGCACCCGGCTCGCACCGACCACAGCGTTGACGTAAACTATCCTCAGTGGTAGACGGATCATGGGTTAGAGTACCCTTTCCTTCAGGCTGACCGTGGGTGGTTTCTCACAATACTTGCACACTTTATTCACATGCAGCATAAAATTATTATTTCTTTCATGTTATCCATAATATCCAGATTTCTTTATTAAGGTTATAATCATAGGATGGAATGAAGATGCATTAAAATCTCAAAATGTTTTTTTTAAATTGAATGATATTTTGGTTTCATTGCGACATTTTACTGAGCAATATGGATTTAATTAATAAATAAAGCTTGCATTTCTACTTAATTAATGATAATTTATACGTTAAATGATTCTTCTATTATGTGTAAGAGATTATTCAATGTTCTGATCTGTTAAGAAAGGCTAGTCTACAATTAAAATATAATTCTTTTTTAGTTTTAGCTTTAAGATCCTTTTATTCTACTTAGTTGTTATTTTACATGTTACACATATATTATAATTAAAAAAAAATTAAATCTTGGTAATTATTAATGTTTTTTACTCTTTCCGAAAATAAGATTGGATAAGATGTTTTTCTTATCAGCTTTTGCTGTTTTCCGTCTTGATACATATAAACTTCTGACTCGGAAGAAACTATGAAAAAATAAACAGAAAAAAGAGACTAAGAATCCCGCATTATTTATAGAATCTTAATTTTCTTTCTTTTAACTGCAAATTTTGATTGAAAATTTTAGCCAGGAAGGACATTAACAAGATCTACCTTAGACAGTACATTCTAAGTGAAGCGGCACATACTTTAGCTTTCTGTTTAAACTTAAACTGTATAAAATGTCTGGGCACTTGAGGCCGCTTGCGGCCCTTTTCCCATTCATCTTTGGCTTGATCTCTGTGGTGTTTCGATGAGGTTGTAGAATGCAAATGAAGTCATGTGGATCATTGAGGTTATGACTGTGTCATTATATGCAGTAAGGTGATAAGACTATATTGTAGAAGTATGAACTTTAACTAAGCTGATAGGATGAAAATGAAGTAATGTATATGCTATTGATGTCGGGAATATGATGCATCACTGCAATAGTATGCTGCTATTGGTCTGATGATCTTGTCTTCAGTTAAATTTTCACATAAGAATATTTCATTAAAATTTGCTGTAGAGCAGGAGGTGGCTTTTTCGCAGAATTTATTATTTAATTTAGCTATATGTTTGTCTATTGCATCTATTTTGAGGTCATGGTTTTAGCTTTTTGTTGTTTAAAGAATAAACGTTCAAAAGCAATTCATTTTAAATTTCTAGTGGTTTGTAACATCTATTGAATAAGTGTTGCCAAACTAGCTATAAATTCTATTTGTATGAAATAACAGATGAAGTTTTTTTTTTCTTATGTCCACCTGATTGACACTCGTCATTCCTTATCCGGGGACTCGAAGCCAGGACCATTCTGATGTGAGGTCAGCTCCCTGGCCATTACACAGTCCGGTTGGCATATCGGATGAAGTTGCGAATGCAGTTCGAACAGTTAAAAGAGAAAACACATATGAAAAATCACGTATTTTTTTGAGGCTGGAAAATATGTTTTACAACGATATCAACTAACATTGTACAATTTTCTGTTGTGACAATCTGAAATCGCATTTCAATTTCAAGAACAATTATTATTTTTTGGATGACAACTTGACATATTTTTTTTGGCAAAAAGTAACATGTTTTTAACCGTTACATTGATTCAATGGAATTATTCTTCGTCAATCAGCGTCTTAAGTACATTGATAAAAATGAGTAACTTTTCGACAGTTGTATATAGAAAAAAATCTATTATGTCACTGATTATGATAAACTCGACAGAACGGCTGGCGATCATGAAAACTTATTTTTCCATTCTATGACAATCAAATAAGCAGCAAAAAAAAAAGAAAGAAAAAAGATGGAGGGATTTGATTTTAGCTTTATAAAAAGGTTCTGTATGCATGGCACAACACCAATACTACAAGAAATCGCATTGTCTGCAAATTTCCGAAAGTAAGTATTATAAATGTTTTATTAATTAGTTACTAATATCCACCTTCGTACCAATGCAGACAATATTTGGTACAATTTTATCACTTAAAATACAATGTTTGAATTTCTCCCCTTAATTCAAATCGACGAAATTTATTTTCAGAATTGCCATTATCAATATGTTCTGGTTTTATTTCTTCCTCGCCCTGAGTTCGTGCGCTGTTATACGCTGTGAAGATGAAGGAAACGATCAGGGAACTGTTATTGGGGAAGAAATGATAAAAGGTAATTAATTATTTTTCTTGGGAAGGATTATTTCTTTTATACTTTGTAAATACAGGTTGTCCTGTATTAGCTGACTATTTTCAAAAAGTTATAGCAGGAAAGCTGTTAAGGTTAATGAATTAATTTTTATAACAAACTCATGCAACAATGCATACGCTTCTTCTCCTAGAATATCTGATTTAAGTTCAACTATTTTCCAACAAATGACATAGAATGTTCCTTCTACAGTTTTATCAGGTGGACATTTTGAAAATATCGTAGTAGGATTTTTCTTCAGAGAAACATTTCAAAAAAATGTGCCGTGATTTTTTGTAACTTTTCTTTACTACTTGCAGCGGCATCTGTTGAAAACTTTTCGAACAAGAAACAGAAACTTTGGGATAAAAACTTCTCTAACACATAATTTTATACATAGGTGTTTCTTTTTTTAATTCAATCGCTTTCCTATTATAATTTTTTAAAAACTTTCAGTCTAATGTAAAATAACCAGTAAGTGATATAGTTGATTAATGTTGTAGTTGCTGTGTTTCTTTTCTTTCTTTCTTTTGCGTTTTCTGGTAGAGTCTCTTAACATTTGTGGTGACCCGGGCATAATTTAAATACGCAACCTTCTGAGCATCTGAAGAGTTCTTAGCGAAGACATTAAAATTTCTATCGATACATTTGCTTCCAAAAATAATATGCTATGGTTGCCAGAAACGCAATAAAATAACGAATTTTTTTTCAAAAAAATTTCTGAGATTCTTTGGAAATCTGGTTGTGATTCATATTATTCTTAAATATTAAAGTAGTAAATGCTATATGTTAATATAAATGTGTGTAGCGGATTTAATCAACATGGATGATACAAATGTATTCTCAAAAAATATCTTATTTAATTGTATAATACTGTTTAGTTGTTGTAGTTCATTTGCATCGCGCTAGAGCTGCGCAATGGGCTATTGGCGACGGTCTGGGAAGCATCCCTGAGGAAGATCCGAAGACATCACAATTTTGATTCTCTGCAGAGGGGATGGCACCCCCGCTTCGGTAGCCCGACGACCTGCACGCGAAGTCGAGCACTTTACGGTAGAACAGTGTAACGAAGACCCATACCATACACCCTCGGTCCCTACGCAGACTGATCCAAGTGGTCACCCACCCGCACATTGACCACAGCCAGTGATACTTGACTTCGGGGATCTGCTAGGAACCGTGTCTTAACGATCACTGCGGGGCGTGGTACAGTTGAATGAGAGTGTATTTGTATGTCTGTTAATCACTTATGTTTTGTTTTTACTGTTGTTTTAGAGTTGAAAAGATATATACTGTAGAATTGCTGTAAACTTTGATATCAGATTATTTATTTCCCTTTAATGCATCTTCTTTAAAAGTTTTTTTTTGGGGGGGGGGAATAATGGTGATATAACTGAAATTATATTAATTAACAAACAGGTTCTATTTTCCATTTCACGACTAATTAAAATATTTTATACCACCTAAATATATCGCAATGAGTTTTGTTACGTCTGCGACTAAATTCTTAAAATTTATATTACCCCACCCCCGCCAAAAAAAAGTTGAAATCTAACATTTTTAAACAATCTGCTCCAAATTTTCCATATGCATGTTTCATGCATTATCATCGGATAACCTGTTCATGCGAAAACTTAAAAATCAAAATTAATAAATAAATAATGAGTTATAAGAATAATAGGAGAGAATTACTTATTTGAAATTTCAGACGTTATTATTTTTTAAATTCTCAAAAATGGTTGTAGCAATGGTGTTCTTACGGCAATCCCACCAGTGATCTATTTTAGTTTTATAGTTAAGTTATTTTAGTTTGGTTATAAATTTTCATCAAAATAAAACATTGGTGGGTAGACAATTTATTTATTTCGCCATTTATAAATTTAACATTACAAATGTCATTTAAGGTCTTAAAACATTCGGAAAAGGTTTTGTTCTACCGGAATATTTGTGTTCTATTTCTCTCTCAAGTCCTCTTATGCAAATTTTCAGATCATTAAAATAAAGTGCCAAATTAAGAAAAATATCTTCTTCTTTACTTTTAATCAAGGTTTTAAGATCATAAAAGCTGCTCGTGATATTTGTGCTGTGTATGGAGAGGGTACCATAGATGAAAGAACTGCTCGTGATTGGCATGCCAAGTTTAAAAATTCAAATTTTGTCCTCTAAGACGCACCTCTTTCTGGACGCACAGTTGAGTTAAATGAGGAACGATTAAACTAACTTTTGCACGAAAGTGATTTATGGAAAATCTTGCCGAACTGTGGAAGAAGTTTTAAGTAACAGGAAATAATACATTAATGATTAATTATATACTATTTTTTTTCCTAAAAAAAAGGACTTTTAAATAAAAGAAAAAACGGCAAAAACTTAGCTGCCAACCCTGTCCTGCCATGTTGTAAGTTTTTTCTCCATAAAAAATCTTTAATAATTATTCATTTCTAATGAAATATTTATTAAAAATGTGCTAGGAGGGTTTAAGGTTAACAAATGTTAATCAATGTAGAAACAAGGAAACAAAACAAATTGTTATTTTTAAAGCATATATAAAGAGCAGTAGCTATTAGAAGAAAATCCACACATAGTTCAGAGATGCGAGCGCTAAATATCAGAGAAATTATCTACACTTGTTTGTTGAAAATTTTATAATTCATCATCTGCTTTTTTTTTTCTTCCAGCGATTCAAGATAAAATGGACAAATTGGACTTCTTAGTTAAGATACTCAAGACCCTTTTTAATTTTAGCCTAGAACCTGAACAAGAGGCAGCAAGGTCTGTACAATCTTATCTTTTTCTTAAAAAAAAAATAATAAATGTTATTAAGTATGGTTAGTAACCCTTTGCACTTGGAAGAGACTCTCTCTGACACAAACTACATCTCTGCCAACTTTCACTCTTTCCGAAAATGGATTTTCCAAGTGGTGGTAAAACAATTACTGAAAAACAAGCTTACTCGAAAATATATTTATATTTTAACCAGCTTGAAATTCGCTGGGGTAAAGAATATTACGTTTTTATATATTTGTAGTGGTTGTCAAACTCATTTATAATTAATATTATAATTCCAAAAGTTCAATGAAATAACATGAGTTTCGCTACCACTTTAAATGTAAAAAGAAAATCTTCCGAGAAAATTAGAAGAGATGGCAGCTATGCAACTGTAACCCAGACATGCAATTTTGCTCCGAACAGCGGATAATTATTGTCGAGCTGTAATAATAAGGCATGATTCTTGGTTTCGAAGAAGTGTCTGCGTGCTTATAGTGACGCTGTTAACACAACACTTTAACGAATTATATTGAAGTCAATCCTTATCTCTTTCAAAATAGATGCAATAGACAAGCATGTAGCTAAATTAAATATCAAATTCTATGAAAAAGCCACCTCTTGCTCTGCAGCAAAATTTCAATGAAATATTTCTATATGAAAATTTAACTGCATACAAGAGACCTATAGCAGCATACTATTGCAGTGATGCATCATATTCCCGACATCAACAGCATATACAGCATAATCTCATTTTCACCACATCAGCTTAGATGAAGTTATACCTCATATTTTTACTGTATGCTCTTACCACCCTACTGCATATAACTATACTGTCAGAACTCAATGATCCTCCATTTGCATTCCACCACCTCATCGACACACCACCAAGTTCAGGCTAAAGATGAATTAGAAAAGAGCCGGAAGCGGCCTCAGGTGCCCAGATGTTTAATACAGTTCAGTTCAGACTAACGGTTACTCGAGATATTTAGGCCCCGTTTACCTTTCCATCATGTGTTACTTTATCTAGAATTTATTTTCATCATGAGTTATTTATAATAGGGCGTAAGAAATTGAAGTTAACTATTAGCCTATTTTCAGTATTTAAATACTGAGTTTTATTTTATAAACTTTTAGTGGTTGGGTTCATTTTTTAAAAAAAATTGTTGGACGTACCCCGAGTGCAAAGGGTTGTCTGTGACTGAGAATATTAAAGAAAAAAAATGGTTGGAAATCTTAAAAATAAAAAAGAGTTTCGTTAAAAAGTCTTTAGTGACCCTAATTACTTCAAGAAATACATTAATAAAATTCGAAATGAATATTTACGAGAAATCATTACAACTTTTGCACGTTAATAATCCATTCAAAGCGTGCAGGCAAAAGTGTGAATTGTAGGACTAGAAGGAGTATAGTTTAAACTCTTGTGGAGTTTCCAAATGGTATAAGAAGTCGTTCTTTAATTTTGCTCTTTATCCTTTACACTCCGAGTAATTTAAAGTGCTGTTTGAACTAATGTAAGATATAAGCACTAAATCATTTAATTCTTAAAATAATGTGGTTTCTAATTATTAAGGTTTAAAAAATGTATGTATATTTAATGTCCCAATGGTGAGATTTACCGAAACAAAAAAACAGTCTTTTACTATTTTACTTCAAGTATGTTAAATAGTAAATTTTTTAAACTGAAAATTGAAATTAATTTAGTAATAGAATCAGGAACAAAAACGTATTATTTCATTAACATGCTTATTTTCAAAGGATTTGGATTTTTAACCATCAAAATATAGGATGCAGCCGCAATCTAGGTCCCTGGTTTGAGCCCCTTAACATTAACTTCATTTTTTAAAGTATTTTGTCACATCTTAAGAAGTTTTTAAGCAAATCGAAAAATTTTTACACACAAATATAAAATTCTAATAGATAATTCTAGATAAAAATAATTTTTAATAATTATTTACATAATTTTTGTCATTTTATTCAATGATAGTCAAAAAAAAATTTTGTATTATAAAGTATACACATTTTTACATCATTTTAAATCATGTATTTTGAAATGAGGGAAGACGAAATGTTAACGAAATCGATCGAATAGTTTCTGAGTTATTAAACACAAAATGACACTTGGACAAGCCAAGCTCGCCAGCCAGTGGCTTTTAGCGAATTAAGTCAGGAATGTGTGTGTTTTTCATTTGATAATAGAGCAGCGCATGGGTGAAAGTACGTCTTGGTTCAGGACCCCACCGTTAGATGGCAGCACCCCTCATTCGTGAAATCACTTCCTTAATGTTGACACAGATCTGAAGGGGAAAATATTTTTTATCTGGATCTTTGTACCCATGGTACTCCTCAGCGACTGACTTTCATTACACTTTCGATTCCACAGATTTTACGAACACGTATATCGCAAGTCTCTAGCAATGTCGAGGATAGAACCACGGAATCTCAGGGGACGGTAGACTAGCAATTAATTTAATTTGTTACCAATATTTTTATTCCTTTATTCACCGTTTTCCATTTACGTTTTATTAATAATTCTCCTTTTTTATTATTCAGATCAGAATGAAATAAAATTTAAAAGACATCAAATGGTTACTTTAATGTCAATCAGTTCCTTTTTTCAGATCTGACAACTGTCTGCCTCCTGGATCTGAATGCAATGCTTTTTCCGGTCCGAACTGCTGCGGAGTTCGAACCAGGTGTTACATATTTGATACTCAAGTAGCCACTCGTCGTGGACCAGCAAAATGGATTTCCAGGTGCAAGGATTATCCTTTAGGAGTATTACTTGATAACATATCCGGATAACAAGTGGATCCATTTATTAACTATGAACACTTCGTTTTGTTGTTAATAAATACTTTCAGAAAATTACGTATTCTTTTCATTTCACAATTTTATTCAGATTTTGCTTTTTGAATTGTATTGTAAAAATATTCACAACATTTAAATTAGAATTTTTTTATAATAGAAAAAAAATATTATGAATAATTTTGTATACAGCGCTCATTACGTAATTTGCTATATATATATATATATATATATGCTGCAGAGAGAGAGAGCAGCACAGAGAGAATATAAATATGAAATCGAACGAGACTTAATAAAACCAATAAAATTAAATGTATAAAAAAATTAATACTGCTCACAGNGTGCATATATACATGCATACATTGGACATGCATATCATGTACATGTATACATACATATATTGTACATATTATATATACAAGGTGATTCTGAAAAGATGGGCAAAATTTTGGAAGTGATGTACACACCCAAGCAAACAATTTTTATCAAAGAATGCATGGTCGAAAACAAAACGCAAAACCGCTAGAGGGAGTCAAAGTTTATGTTCTTATATGAGGCAAAAACACACGAAGAGTGATGAAGTTAAGTTATAAAAGCAAATTTAATGGCATTTGATTACAATAAGTGTTCAAAGCAGTGGCCGGCAGCGGCTATGCATGCAGTACAGCGGCGAAGAAAAGATAGGCGAACATTCTGAGACACACCGGGCATATCACGAACTTTCCGTGCAGCGGCCGAAAGCTTGGTGACAAGTAACGCAGCGCAGTAACTCGCAACAGGAATGGAGTTTTCACGTTTGCATCAAACAACTTTCCAAATACGCCAGCACCTTTGCGTCTTGTTTTCGACCATGCATTCTTTGATGAAAAATTGTTTGCTTGGGTGTGTACTATCACTTCCTAAAATTTTGCCCATCTTTTTAGAATCACCCTGTATATAGTGTGACGTACTTGTATACTTGTGATAGCGTAAAAAAATTATTGTTTTATTTTTTTTTCCCCTTAGAAAAATAAGCAGAAGAACCTAAAGATAAAATTCCGATCAGGCATTCTCAGTTGAAGCGGTAGTCAAGAATAGTTTCATTTCAGGTGTTGGGGGAAAAAGAATCAACACCTCCTAGATGAGAGACCTTAGTCCGGATCAATTAAGTAGTTCGATACAACGAACATAAACTGCGCAGAGGAGGAAAAATTAGGAATGTGCTACTATGTTCGGGCTACTAAACTGCAGTGTGGTGGAAAATATGAAAGGTGTCATTACTTTTGGACTACTGAAGGAATTCTTAAATTTCTTTTTACGGTTACCCATGCTGAGAACTTCCCGCTTCTAGGAGGTATTGAAAGAACTCCTTTTCTATTCTCGTTTGGGTGTGGTGATTTCACTCTTGGCGATTCAAATTAGTTTGGCTACAAAATATAATTTACATACCAAATATAATGCAGCGTTATTTTTTAGGAATCTGGCCAAGTTTTTTTTAATTATAACTTTAAGGGGAGCTTAAGTAAAACATGGGTGTGTTGAATAAGGATTTTACAGGCGTGGTTATTATTAAGATCGGAACTTATTATTGATGAAAATATGACTAATCAAGATAAAAATGTAACGATTTTTGCAACATGGACCGATATTCCCTACTCAGATGTTTTTTCTTTTTAAATAAGTGCCACTGCCCAGTATATACATTTGACTAGTATTTCCTACAGTGCTGTTTTATGGTTAGATGCCATTGTCAGATGAATACTTACCCTGCACTGATTTTCTTTTTGAGGTTAAGTGCTATTGTCTGATATTCCGTGCGTTGATGTTTTCCCAATTAACTTCAATCAGACTTTTATAAAATAGTAACCTTTGATTATAACCAAAAAAGCCTGTTATAGTAAAATGCGTGCTTCCAAAAAGTTGATTTGTTGAAAATGAAAACGTTATTTTTCTTTGATTATTAAACTTAGTAATATTTTTGATGGAAAAAAAGGTGCAATTATCAGCCAATTATGATAATCTCAATTGACACTTCTTAGAACAACATAAATCAACAACCTTTCCCCCCGAAACATCTCAAATGGTGAAGGGGAAAGGACCTCTGAAAGGGAAATGGGCATCAGTTTTCCATTACACCTTAAAAGTGGATGCATAAAACTATACAAATAATAAAACACTAGTCAAACACCATAATAATACACGACACTGATAAAGAAATTTTAAAAAGTTGTGAAGGTCTTAGTAGCTAATACATTTTCTGAGACAATTAAACTGTGCTAATTCGAAGTACGCGGCGACTGGCTGTGTAGTTGTCAGTGACATGACCTCGCATCAGAAAGGTACTGGGTTCGAATCCAGGCATGGATGCGCTTTCATTCTCTGTACTATCTGTCCTTACTGTGGGAACAACGTTGGCACACTTAATCGGGTACCGCCATACTGATACCTGAACGAACCGGGCACATCTCAAAAAAAAGTTCTGAGAAGAAACCGAGAAAAAAAAAAACGTAACGTCGCTTGAAAAATTATATGAATTTAAGACCAATTTCATCTGGACCTTTGAACGAATTAAGCACGAATTTAAAGTGTATATCTACATTCATGAAATTAGTTTTTTTTTTTAAATTAACTAAAATACAAGAATTATTTTAAAGTTTATGAAAGTAATTTAACGCACTTTATACTATTTAACAATATTTTTTGGACTCTTAGTCAGCTCCATAATTTTTCTGAATTCCAAGAATTACACTAATTGTGTTGTAATAATACTTTATATTGTATGAAAATACCTTTAAATTGTATGATAATTTTTTTTTTAAATTTTAGTCAATATTTTTAACTTATCACAAAATTAGCCTCCTATGAAACTAATGTTAGTTTATACATTAAATATAGTGATACATTTAAATGCATTGTATAATTACATGATGAACAATTAGTAGAAATCAGAATTTACATTAATAGTTCGCTTCCGATAGCTACAAATTAAACTTTCCTTGCTAATCACTTTTTAAAAAATGTCTATTTACATTCGAATAAATATTTAATACATATTTAACAGTCTGACTGAAATCGGTCATTAAATTTATGTAATTGTTATGTGCTTTTTCCGATGCTCTTTTTCCTTTCTTGTTTTTTCTGTAGCTTTTTTTTCCAGAACGTTTTTCTGTATTTCTAGTATAAAACATCCTCATTGCAAAGGAATTTACAACCTCTTAGTGTCTGTGCCGAAAATATGTAGCCATTGTCTCCAATACCAGTAAATTCTATTAAAAATACTAAAATGTTTGACAATATTTCATTAAAATTAATGCAATTTAATCAGTGAAAACCTTTCAAATGAATGACACTTTAACTGCATCTAATTTAATATAAGAAAATTTAATATAAGAAAATTTAAACAGTATTTCATCACAATTACTGAAATTTAAACAGATTTTTAAATTAATCGGTATACAATTAAAATTAATTTTTGCAATATCTTAAAAATCAGACGTAATAGAGCAAAACGGTTTTCAGATTTAAAATCCGCATAACAAACTACATTAGCAAAGTTGTTTTTTATCAGTATTTGTTGTTATTTATTGTTTATCAGTATTATAACACCAATTATTTTTTAACTACACTCATCAACTTAGGTTATTTATGTAAGGTTATTATGTATTAATAATCATATTATATTTTAATGATTAATAATAATATTATATTTCAATGAATAATGATCATATTATATTTTAATGATTAATAATAATACATTTCCATGATTAATAATCATATTATTTTAATAATTTTAAAATTTATATAAAAAATACTGTATTATGAATTTTAAAATGATTTCGTACTCATATTAGTTCAAACAGAATTTTAAAGTACTCGAAGTGCAAAAGGATTAGCCCTTTCGTTACTTCACTCCGCTCCGCTAAAGTGACGGAAACGTGCACAACCAACACTTCCTAGTTGAGAGAAGGCTTCAGCACGGATCAAATTAGTAACGAACGTAAACTGCGCAGTTTCTGAAAATTGCTTGTTTATGGTAACCCGTACTGAGACCTTTCTATTCTAGAAATCTCTCTCTTCTAGGTTTTGGCCCAACGCCGCTAAGTGTGCACGTTGCATGTTAGGTTTTCTTATTATGTTTTACCTTTGTAGCTAAAAAATACTTTATTCCTAAATATAACGCACCGAAAAAACTTGTTTCGCCTTACAAAACTCAACGCAATCAAACTATAATTTTATGTTGTCATAGAGGTAAGTGTAGCTTAACCAAAGAATATACCCTCGAGTCCTTTAGAGTTTGAAAATAGCAAACACAGGTAGATACTTTGCGTAGCAAATACCCGCGGTGGAACAAGGCCCAGAGTCTATTCCCCCGCGTCAAACTCTTAAACGGTCTATCATTGAACATCAAATAGTTGCAAAATCAAACCGCTCTGCACCTCACTGTGGTTCGAGGGTGAACGTCTTCGGACGGCTAACGCAGGCGGAGGGTGCGGTAGACCGAAGACTGCAATTGAAAATTGGTGCAAGCAGTCTTGGAATTTAGATTTTTAACTGCTTTTATGAGGCAAAAGTGTTTTGCTTGAGATTGCTCTAGACTTGGATCAGTTTTAGAGGAGGTGATTCCTGTAAAGCTTTGATGACTCTTTTGAGATCAGTCAGAAGGAATGGGCGACTTCTGGAGCGCTTCTGAGGGAGATGTTCTGTAGATTCATGGATAAACACGGCGAGAAACTGAGTTCGGTCGGAAATTCACAACTGTGGGCAATTATGTTCGAATACGGTGACCTGATCAGCAGGCAGAATGAGATGATTGTATATATGAAGGGGCTCCACTACGAGGCGCTGAAAATTGCATTAAAGCGTAACAACAGAAAGAAAAGAAAGTGCTCAAAAGAAATGGCTCGTCTGGACAGCAGATTTCTGCGCCACAATTAAAAAGAATGACGAGAGTGTCGATGAGGATCTGATACAGCTCGTAAAAGAGAATTTAAACCCAAGTGAACTCAAAATCGGAGTAAAGAGGATCAAAAAGATGGAGGAGACTTAAAAAGAAACGTGACTAAAAAGAAACTTAAAAAGAAAAGTGACACACTAAAAAAAGTCAGAGAAATTAACAGTGCCGATTGGAGTGAAAATCTCAATTGCCAGTTGGTTAAGAGATGGAGGCTGAGATTGATTCCATATGGAATAGAAGAGACCTACGAAAAAGAGGATCACGCATCCAAACTAAAGTTGTTGTTGTTGTTGTAGTTCACTTACGTCGCACTAGAGCTGCACAATGGGCTATTGGCGACGGTCTGGGAAACATCCCTGAGGATGATCCTAAGACATGCCATCACAATTTTGATCCTCTGTAGAGAGGATGGCACCCCCGCTTCGGTAGCCCAACGACCTGCACGCGAAGTCGAGCACTTTACAGTAGCACAGTTTAACGAGGACCAATACTGCACACCCTCGGTCCCTACGCAGACTGATCCATGTGGTCACCCACCAGCACACTGACCGCAACCAGTGATGCTTGACTTCGGTGATCTGCTGGGAAACGTGTCTTAACGATCAGTCCACTGCGGGACCATCCAAACTAAAAGCAGCAAATAAAGAATTTGAGGAAGCAGAGATAGAAACCTTATTCTCAAAGAAAAAAAAGGCACTCATTGGGTCATTAGACTCGACCCTCATTCTTCCTCGAGAATAATCAAAAGAGGACGTGTCAGCCTTGGCTGGCACTCCTACAAAGCCAGTGAATATTTGAGGCCGCTGAGATGTTATAGGTACAACAGGCTCGCGAGACTGTCGGCACGAAGAAGCCTGCGCCAACTGTGGGCATAAGAAATGTGACTGTCAGAGTAAGAGCAACTGCATTAACTGTAGTGAAGCCAATACGGGATTCCACCTGGGTCTGAACACAAATCACTGCAACTTAGTCACGAGTGTGGATACCTGCGAAGAACGGGAAGAACTGCAATCGCAAGCTATAGAAATAATGAAAAAAGGTTCCTTCGATTTAAGATGTTGGGCCTTCAATGGAATACAAGACCAGAATGTACTTGGACTAAAATGGAATACGTATACGGAGGAACTCTATTGTGTTGGTAGTCAATTGTTTTTCTCAGAAGATAAAGTCGTTTCAAAGAGAAAACTTCTTTCTATTGTCAACAGCATATACGACCCAATTGGAATTACATCACCTGCAGCATTATTAATGAAATTATTGCTTCGAGAAGCTTGGAAAAACAAGATAAGCTGAGACGAAGAATTGCCTCCAGATATTCAGCAACGATATAAGAACTGAGCGGAACATGTTGATCTCATAGAACAGTGCAGAATACCTCGACAATTGATGCAAGGATCTATTGAGAGCACTAGCTTGCATGTCTTTACTGATGCTTCTGCAGACGCTTATGCTTGCTGTGTATACTTACGTACTGAAAAAGACACAGACACGTCTATCCAGTTAATTTCTGCCAAAGCCAGAGTAGCCCCAATGAGGAGACCAACAATTCCCCGCTTAGAATTACTTGGAGCCGCAATGGGTGCAAGATTAGCATGTACCGCTCTTGAGGCAATACAACGGCCTTTAAGAATGGTTTTTTTGGGGGTCGATTCAATGGTTGTCCTTAGTTGGATAGTAAAGGGAGAACCATGGAACATTTTCGTCGGTAACCGTGTAAGAGAGATACGAAAGCTCACAGATGTTAACAGTTGGAGATTTGTACCAGGAACTATGAATCCGGCTGACCTACCGTCTCGCTCTTGCGGTTGAAAGGAATTGATAGAAAGTCGATGGTGGGAGGGGCCCTCCTGGTTAAAGGAAGCGGAGAACACTTGACCAAATACTGAGATTACAATGTCTGAAGAAGCTTTGGTTGAAAGAAAGAAATGTGTTATCTCCAGTGTCAATGTCAACTTACAGGAAAACTTCAGCAAAAAGCTTTTGTACTTCTCCAATTATAGCAAAATTATACGAATGGTAGCTTGGATGTTGCGATTTGTCAACAATGCCATAAATAAGTCTATACGAGTAGCATCCGAGTTAACAAGTGCAGAAATACAGAATGCAGAACTTGCCGTTATAAAACTGGTCCAAAAAGAACAGGCTCCTGATTTAAGGAAAAAATACTCGAAATCAATCCGATTTTACGAAGAGTCTGAAGTCTTAAAGATTGAAACTAAGTTGGTTTTAGATCCAGAAGAATTCCAGAAACCAACAGTATTACCCGATCATCCTATCGTGAGACAGTACGTTGAACATGTCCATAAAGCCATGATGCACAGTGGTGTTCAAACAACTCTGAACCGCATTCGAGAGCTTTACTGGGTTCCTCGCGGTCGGAGGGTAGTTCGTGAAGTCATAAGCAAATGCGTGGTCTGCAAGCGTCACTCAAGTAAACCAGTACAGCCAGATACATCATCTCTACCCATGGATAGAACAAAACGCATTTCTGCATTTCAAATCACGGGTGTAAATTTGGCCGGGCCTATGCAACTACGTCAAGGTATCAAGGCTTGGATTGTTTTATTTACCTGTGCGGTGTATAGAGCCATTCTTCTGAAGCTCGTTACATCATTGTCGTCCGAAGCATTCAGGCAAGCAATGAGAAGATTCTTTGCAAGAAGAGGGAGATGCTCGGTAATGTATTCGGACAACGGGACGAACTTCACTGGAACAGCACGAGCCCTTCAGTCATTGAACTGGGAGGAATTGCAATCTCAATTTGACTTGCAAAACGTCAAATGGCATTTTAGCCCACCTACCGCACCATGGTATGGTGGATGGTGGAAAAGAATGGTCCGTAGTATCAAAGAAGTTTTACGAAAGTGCTTGGGAAGGGCTTGCGTGACGTACGAAGAAATGCTCACGTTATTGTGCGAAGCTGAAAGTGTCATCAATGGGAGACCACACACCTACCTTTCAGATGATCCGAATGAAATGACACCAATAACACATAATGAAAAAATATTGTTGTTCTCAATACGCACAAGTTTTTTGGTCAGTTCACAAGGTGTTACCGAAATGCAAGCATTGTTTTGTTTTTCTTATAACGTGTTAAAATATTTTTCCAGGTTTGTATGCTGTTATTATTTGTTTAATACATTGCAATAAATTTTTCAAATTTGTGGCACTGTAGTGGTATTATTGTACAAACATAATGAGTAGTGAAAATTTAAAAAAAATTTTTTGTTCAAACAAATTTGCAGATAAATTTTTTAAAAAATTTACTATCCGGGCAAGATGGGACAGCCCAAGTAGAATAAAAGTGTAAAATAAAGCTCTCCGGATTTGGCAAAAAGCATTAAAAATAAGGTAATATTAACAACAACAAAAAATATAAGCTAGCAAATATAACTTACTGTTACTGAAGACTGGATTCAATGTTCAGATTGCTTAGAATGGGCGCATGAAGCGTGCAGTGCTTATTCCGGTTTTGGCCGCTTCTTATGCAGTAACTGTGATACTTAGGAAGATTTTTGTGTCGATTATTCCTTTATTCTAACATTAATTTCTGTGATTTTTGAAATATAATTATGTGTCCCATCTTGCCCGGGCAAGATGGGACAATGATCTATTTCCGTTTATACTAAGTTATTATTATTAAACTTTATTATTTATCTATTTTCTGTATAAGATATGTAAAAGAAATGTTCCCACTATATGTTTACAATATGAAAGATATCAAATTGCTCTAGTTACTATTTTTCAAACCAAGTTTCCTTAAGCGGTCCATCTTGCCCGGGATGCCCCTACATATTTTTTTCTGTTTATTTATAAATATTTTTCCGATATGTTTTGGATGTTCCTTCTCTATAAAAACAAAAGAGATGCCATTTTGTTTTCGCTTGCATAAGAAAGAATATCAGACATTTTTCTTTTTTAAATTTAATAAGCCATAATAAAGAAGGAACGTTACAATGCTACCCGCTACATTAAAGACGTCTCCAGAGTAATTGGGTATAATATGAAAAAAACACAACTACTTCGATTTAGTAGGAACAACATATGACGCAATGCTAAACGAATGGAATTTAGTTGTTGTTTATTTAGTTATTATTATTAGTAGTTGTTGTTATTTGTTTTAATTGTTGTTGTTTATTTAGTTGCATTTAGTTTCAATAACTTTTCTTTATAATGCAATAAAATCTGGCGAGCAGCTATTTAAACGATCGAACACTTCGTTTGTTTATTTGTGGCTTGAAGTTAGGCTCACAGAAAATGCCGTTCATGGGTTAAATTTAGTAGGAACAACACAACCTGTGACGTAGGCTATATTATACCCAATTGAATGACTGTTCATATAGAAATCGCAGGTATTCGTCTCATACAACAACGCCCCCTATAGTTCGCTGCAATCGCGAATGGTAAAGTAATTTCCAACTAGCATTAACGTAAATTTTCTATCACCATTATAAAATGCAAGAAATGTGTAAAGCTTGTATAAGTTAGTGAAATAGTTTACTTAATCTGATTTTATTAATCAGTAATTTTTTTTTCTTATTGTACTTAGTAAAAACTAATCAACAACAACTAAAAAATGTATAATATTCTTTAATCTTTATACTTAAATAAAAGTTTTTTCCTTTAAAAATTTATGCTCTAATAACTTTTACAGCGTTTACATTTGTAATAGTATTTACATATGTAGTTATCGCCATTTTTATGAAATGGAAAACCTATTCGGAATATGTGTTTCCTGTCCAGTTTTTCAACTGCTCTTTAATCAAAGCTTTTTTCCAATCTCCAACGATTTCTTTACTAATAAATTTCATTCAGAAATTAATAGCAAATCCATTTCAGAAATTAATTGTCTAATATGCTGCAAACCTTCATAAGTTTTCGGTTTCGTAAGTATCTCGCCTGCTTTTGATTTTTAGTTATAAACTTCATCAAAATTCTTTTTTATGCATTCAAAATTACTGAAATTCACCATGTTATTGAAATCTGAATTGTCTCTTTCAATAGCGCCAATGATTCCATCGCCGAGAATCGACAATTAATTTCTTTATATCTTTCTTAATTTTTTTTTTTGTAAGTGATGTAGTAGAGATTGGGGTCATTACTATTGGGGTAATAACTTGGGATAATAACATTTACATATGTAGATAGTCTCAGTTTGATGAAATGGAAAACCAATTCGGAATACTTGTTCCTTTAGTCTTCTCCATGAACTTCCTGTCCAAGCTTTCAACTTGTTCTTCAGTCAAAGCATTTTTCCAATCTCCAACGATTCCTTTACGGACACTATTCCATTTAGGTAACTCTTTTGGCAAATCCATTTCAGAGATTGATCGCTCAATATACTGCAAACCTTCATAAGTTTTCGGTTCCATAAGAATCTTCCCCTCTTTTGGTTTTAAGGTATAAACTTCATCAAAATTTTTTTTCATGTATTCGAAACTGCTAAAATGCACGATGTTATTGAATACTGAATTGTCTTTTTCGATTGCGCCAATGAATTCGTCACCAAGGAATTTAGCCAAATCGACAATAACTTTCTTTATATCTTTCTTCATATCTTCGTAAGTAGTGTGGTAGAGATTGGGGTCATTTCGATGAGGGTACCAAGACAGCAAATGATCAAAGTAGTCACCGTACTCCACTTGACCAGCCATAAAAAGTTCGAAAAATTCATCAAACTCGCCATCCCAGTACCTAAATCCAAAATGATTTCGTGTGTGATGAAAGAGAGACACGGCGCAGTCTTTGGGATTGCGGGCAACAAAAATGTATTTAGCCTCAGAGGAATATGGCATATGGGTGTAAGGAAGATGAGTTTTAAACGCACCAGGTTTTGGCATCTTTTCAATGCCCTCCTTGCCACACATATCTAGACTTGGGCAATACTTCAGAAACTGAGACATATCTTCGAGCTTTTTTCCTTTGCGAAAAATGTAAAGAGCTACATTTTGCATCCAGGTTGTCCCACATTTTGGATAAGTCACGATAAATACGTCCTCTGCTTGAGGTTTGTAATCTAAAGCTTCACGGAAGCATTTGGGTGAAAAGACACCAGGATATATGATACCATCCATTTTCACAAAAAACGGTCGTTTCGATACGATTTCTGCTGTTGAAGCCATCATTGTTGTTGTTCCTGAAATAAATTAAGGTTTCAATTGCATAATATCCATTAAATAGTTATTGTATAAGCACACTCATAACTTTCATCGGTATATATTGCTGTATCTAATTTTATATAATTCTCGATAGCTATATAAATTGTGTATAATTTTCTATAGAACAGATAATTTACAAAATATAGTTACTGCGAATGACCGACATTGGTTGTCGACTTCCACGGGTAAATGTTGATATTCACATAGTCACTTTGGTAAATGTCCAAAATATATACTAGGTCTAGATAAATGTCACTGTCCGATATACTTTTGCTCGGTATACCTTACACTGGTGTTTTTTTAAGGTTCAGTGTCACTGCCCATTTTACATTTTCCCGGTTCACCATTTTTTAAGGTCACTGCACAGTTCGCAGAACAAATCTATCCTCAGCAGATATTAAAATATCGAATAAATATAATAATATCAACGAATAAATTAATAATCTAATTGGACATAACAAATACTTCGGACATTCACCAAAGCGACTAGTCGACTGTTGACATTCACCAGTGAAAGACGACATTCAGTCATTCTCCGTAACATAGTTAAAGGAAATTTATTGAGCTCCTAAATAAATAAAAACATATGTTTTTACTTTTTTGAATTTGCTTAAAATGTTTTTTAAAAATTTGGATTGACTGCTTGGATATAAAATTATTAACGTAAAATTTCGCTATGAAAGGAAGAGATCTTCAAAAAGTGTAATTCATTAATTAAATTACACTTTTACTGTATTACGAGTACATCTGTACTCGTAATTATTGTAAAATTTTGTATGAATTAATGCATGTAAACTATTTTAACGCTATTTTCAACCACGTGCGAAATAGCTCCATTTTTTCCCCTTTAACAGCAGAAACAGCTGGGCACTACGGGCATAATGGTAATTGGTGTAGTTTAAATCGGTACCAAAAATACTTTTATATAAATACAAAGTATTTTATGAGTAAATCTGGTGTTAATTATGGCTGCACCAATACTGTACATTTTTATGAAAGATTTTTTGCGGCTCCTCGAAGATATAAGTGCAAGAAACATTATGACAGATGGTACCGATTACAGTTAATCCTTATTTTGATGGGATGAACTACTAAATACATGATTTTCCCAATTTAATAAGGTAAAGCCACAAAGAAGAGCAACAAATAACACAGCACGCAACAGATAACAACGCATACAGAGAGGGAAAGATCCTCGCCCTGCTGAGCGGGATTCGATTCCGCTGCCACTGGCATCACAGTCAGGCACGCTACGCCACCTGGCCGGTAAACTCTATTTATAGATTCCCTGTATTTTATATCATTTATTAAAAATAATTTTGTTCTTATATTCCAGTTCTCACATAGTATTCAGATTCAGAACAAGTTCCCTTCAGAATATGTAGTGAGATTTCCTGGCGTAAGCATATTTAATAGATTCTCCTATTAATTATATAGTGAAGGGGCAAAACTGTAAATATGCCACTTCTCTAGGTTTTTAATAGTATAGTTATTTCGACTATACATAAAAAGGTAATATTTCGTGACCGAAGGATTACCACTACGGTTAAATCATATGATTGAAACAACAGAGACTTCCTTCCTTAAATTTATTTCGATAACTGAAAAAGGATTTAAATTCAAGGCGAATCAAGAAAAAAATCTGAATGTTGATGAAATTAACTTATTTGTAGTATGATATATGAATTTTTATGAAATCAAAGAGCACTCTCTTTCTCATTAAATTGAAAATAAATTAAAATTTAGACGATTCCCTCTAAAAATAGGAAAAAAAAATTTTTAGTTTTTTTCCACGCATGCCCTGTATAAAAGAACAATTTTAAGTTCTTATATTTTGCACAGTTTTAAACAATTTCTTTTTCAAATTTTAAAAGTCATAGCTAAAAAAAGTAAGACTATATATATATA